GACTCCGTATGTTCATAATTGTAGACCCATCGATTAAAACTAAACTTTGCAATTCATATTTTGACAATTTGCCACAATATCAGATGTGATTTTTTACATCTTAAAACGAGGTACCAACATGCCCAGGTTTATATCTTTTTAAATTTCAACCATTTTCCAAACAATAACTACAGATTCGAGCCGGGTTTATAGTAATTCCGCAGAAGCAGATCGGAATTATTTATGACGTAGACAGTAATCGTTCTAATCGTAATCATGTTCATTGACCATAACGACGATGAAAGCACATCATATATTGGCGTTTCGACATCATATAATGAAATAAACCAAACCACATCATATAAGGTTACAAGCACATAATATAATGACACAACCACATCATATAAAGATGTTTGTACATAATATAATGGAAAATGCACATCATATAAGTATATTTGCACATATTTGCACAGCATATAAGTACATTTGCACATCATATAAGTATATTTGCACATCATATAAGGATATTTACACATCATATAAGAATGTTTGCACATCATATAAGAATGTTTGCACGTCATATAAGTACATTTGCACATCATATAAGTATATTTGCACATCATATAAGTATATATGCACATCTTAAAAGTTTGTTTGCACATCATATAAGGATGTTTGGACATCATATAAGGATACTTGCACATAATATAAGGATATTTGCACATCATATAAAGGTGTTTGCACATCATATAATGACAAGTACACATCATATAAAGGTATATCCACATCATATAATGACAAGTACACATCATATAAAGGTAAATGCACATAATATAATGAAAATGGTCATAACAAGACAGTGTTGGCGTTCCATAAATAACCGTTTAGTTTAATTATTATGCCATAAAAAAAAAACTTTTTTATGCAGGTAAAAAACGATGATTTACATATTTTCAAATCCATGAAGTGATATCAAACAGACCTAGAAAAAATTGTCATTATACGATTACACGAGCTTTTACGTCTATTTTATATTTAAATTTATTTTATATCGGTTTTATGACAATCGACAGTCTTCGATGGTCATCTCGATGTCTATTCAGATGAGATTAAGTTTAAAATACGCATGAAGTGTTGATATATAATAACGAGACTAGACATTGTTAATGGTTTCCTCTGGACTTTTGTAATTTAGTACCTTATATATCAAATATAAATATTTTAACCAAATCGATAAACATAAATGTGAATGCCTTTCAAAGTTTCAATTTCCATTCTAAAATACTTATAAGTGTCATTATATACTGGATGTGGCTTAAAGACTCGACTCGAATATTGGGACAATATTTGTAGCTTACATGTATATTATGGAATACCAGTTGCAACTTTTAAGCCAACGTAATTTTGTTTCAAATCTTTGTATCCGTGTTTTTTTAGATATTAGCGTTCGCCCTTGATTTTGCCTCAAGTGGAAATTCTATGTCATTTTGATAACCGCATACAAAAACTTGTAAACGTGCTTTCATCAAGGTACGGAAAATATGTTTATTCGTTGTCCTTGCATCTTGGTTGACTTCAGGAAAAATTGTTTACAAGCAAAATGAATTATCTGATTTTCATATCTTGTAATAGGAGGTTCAAAATTTGGATTGGAATTTTGCGTAATGTCAAGGTTGACGATTTCCACATTCATTATTTATTTGATTGGTTCGTTGGCTTGGTGGTGTATTCCCGATTGTCCCAGTTTTTTTTATTTTGGAGTTCTATTTGTCCCACATTATTTTGCTGTGTTATTGTTTTTTAATAAGCAATATCAAAAAGAGGCCAAAAATACAAAAGGGATATATATTCAAACGCATACGTCGAAAATAGATTGACAATGCCATGCCAAAAAAAATGACGAAATGACAAACAAGAGTACACAAAACATAACATGGAAGCTAAAGACAGAGTAACACGAAACCCACCAAAACCTGGTGTCATCTCAGGTGCTTCGGAAGGGTAAGCAGATCCTACTCAACACGTGGCAAGTCGTGTTGTAATTGTTGTCGAGGGATATTTTCTAGTTATATTGTTAATGCAAAATCAGGTACCTATAAAATCGACATAGCTGCAATTTGTTTTCATTTTATGTTTATAATTTTATAATTCAAGGATTTTCTTATGAATATTTTTTATCCAAAAAACCCATTCCCATTTTTGTCCCTTGAATTGAGAGTTAACTTGAACAATTTTATGATCAGATAAAATATGTGTTATTTCTTTGCTTCGTGAATATATGTATTATCAGCCTTTAACCTGCCAATTTGAGATCAAGTCCAAGACATTTGTAAAATCAAGCTTATATCTGTTAATTTTTTGATAGACATCTTTTATCTTAATTTTATCCCTGATAAAATTTATTTCATAGGACTCTATTCTATCTTCTATAAAATTTGAATATCTCTAGTTTTTGAATTATGCTGTTTTTAATTAGAACAGTAGTTTAATAGATTTGAGAATATCACAACACAATAAAAAATGTGTAAATACCAACTTTTCTCCATGTATATTTCAAATTTTATATGTACGTTATATCTATAAGTCTAAGATAATTATCACTAGTTATCTGATACAAACTTACACAAATGAATTTCAGTAACAATCAAAACAATTCCTGATTGTCCAACATTTCCATTTCCCAATTGTCCCATAAACATCTCCCCAATTGTTGCACATAATTTCATTTCTTTTTTACCTGTAGTTTTAAAAAGTGGGACAATTGGGAAGATACCGTCTTGATTGATTGATTGATTGACAAATTGTTAAACCCAAAGAGACGCATATTACATAATAATTAATTAATTGATTGCTTGTTTGAGTCCAAGGGACAAATTTTCAACGCACTCTCTTTACTGAATGAATGTTAAATGTTTCTTGTCCTACAAATAAATAGCGATGGCGGTATTCATTTCCTAGATTACCTAGCAAAATGTCAAGTCTCTAGGATCAAACAAAAAGAGATGGTCTGGACCTACTTAACTTAAATGTTTTCAGGTTTTTGTTTGTGTTTTAACAGTGACATTTCTAGGAAAATGCAGGATATCTCCGACACCCCTCCCAAAAATATCAAGCGTCTTCCTATATTTAAGAGAAGGTAGCCACTTTTTTGGCCCCCTGAAATTCGAATTTATAAATAAAATTATTATAAATCTGCAAAATAACCTACTTTAGATGTACGTAAAACATTAAAGTATGCACTATCAGTATTAATAATTTTGAGTATTGTGTTTCATATTTGCATTACGGTTATAAACTTCTTGCGTTATTGCAAAACTGCAAAAACTGTCAAAATAGTCTCATTTTAGATCGTTTCATTTATATCTAGATATAATCTTTTTTCAGCCTGAAATTTTAGTAAGGCACAAGTCATACAGAATGTGGCGGGTTCAACTATGCTTACGGGTGCCAGAAGCAGTAGATTCCAAGTTTTTATTGAAGTAAACTATAATACCAATTACCGTGTGCATGACATGTATTTCTTGAATAACCATTGTTAAGTTATTTCTTAACCAAAAGTTAAGAAATCAAAATACTAAGTGTATGTACATGAAAATAATATCTAATAAGGAGTAGGTCCGGTAAGGGCCGATTTTGGCCTCAAATTTCAGGTTCATCTGATGAAAGATTTGGACACTTTTTAAACACTTAAGTGTCTACTTCATTCGATTTAATTAGTTTATATGAAAGATTTTAACTGAATTAGTCATTTCAGACGCTCTAATTCAAGCTTAAATATGAAAAATCTATCAAATATGCCATAATGTGTCACTTTTCAGATGGTTTTTGTCAAAAATGAAAGTAGCCGCATCCGTGTTCACTCTCAACCTTTATATATGTTATGTATTATCATCAAATACAACTTACATTCAAATATTAAGAATGAACACAAATGCGGCCATTTCCATTTAAGACGGAAACCGTCTAAAATTTAACTCAAATTCTAAAATTGTGAAGATTTCAGTAATTTAGCATGACTTAATGATGCTAGTACCCGATATATGTGCATTGTATTGTCAAAAACAGCCCATTTTTATGTTGCAGAAGTCTTATACTTTCCAATAAAAAGCTAAAAGTTTACATTGTAACAATTTTGTAAAACTGCTATATTTTGGGGTCAAAAAGGGGTCTTACTGGACCTACTCCTTTGGTGTGTCCGAAGCACTCATCTGGATTAACCTTCATCAGGAACGCTTAACCCCAATAATCTGAAATCAATGATGCATAGATATTGTATACGCATGGAATTATGATCAAAATAGGGCATAAGAAGAATAGACAAGAATAGACAAATCCATTAAAGTCATCTTTGCGTAAGGCAGTTGGAACCTAAAAATATAAATATTTTTTAAATCTATTAGTGGAGAATTAAAGAATAATATGAATTGCAGTCTGGCAACAGTAGTATCGACTCAGTTCTTGAAAATAAAAATAACATTTTATAATTTTGGTAAGGATTAAATTCAAAGGACCAAATTCTATAAAGTTTGTTTTTGGACATTGCACAATAATTTTTCTTCCTGTATTGGTTATGATATTGATGTATGAAATCATATTCGAATTATGGTCAGTGATATTATACTACAGGACGACAACCGTTCTAAACGTCAAGAACTATACTTGCTAATGTAGACTTTATATTTACTTCTGCAATGTTCATACGAAACAGGTTGTCATCCTAAGCTCACTAAAACCTCATTAAGAGATTTATCTTCCTTTATCTTCGAAATTATGTATACAATTGCTTTCCAAGTGCTTGTTTTTCTAGTTATAAACCAGGTTTAATCCACCATTTTCTTTGGAAAATGCCTGTTCCTTGTCAGGAATATGACAGATTGGTCGATATAGCTTAGTCTTACGTTTAATTTTGTTCGTTTTTGTGGACTTCCCACTTTTTAAATTAACCTTAGAGATTGGTGTTTTTGTTAATACTTTTTTTTCTTAAAGACAAGGATACACGAACTTAAGTTAGTATTCAGTTAAAAAAAGGGTGATTTAATTTGATGTAGTTGACAAGTGTTACACAACATGAAATAATTTAGGTACACAGTTTTGATTATACAAAAAAAATGTTTGATTTGAAGAAAATAGATAAAAGGCTATACAATTGATACATATTTTAAAATTCAATATTCATTTTCTTATCTTATCGAAACGTTTTTTCAACCTTACATACATCATGTACATGTAAATTTTTCATGACGCATTGACTGTGTTGGTTTCATCATTTTCCTGGTAAATATGTTTGTTAAATATTATACATTTGCTGTTTAAACATTTGGAAAACTATTTTGTTATTGTCCGTGCTAATAAAGTGAGAATATTTTGATACGGACTGATTTTGTTATAGTTTATATGTTTGTAGACTCCATTGATTTTTCATACAATTCAAAATAATCATTGTTCGAACTTGAATTTCCACAGAGTATGTCAGTAATTGTAGCATAGTTATCATCAGCGTTCTCGTATTCATTGTTAGACACACTATGACTGTGTGGAATACTACCAACATTCAGGTACTGTTGACCTCTGTCATTCATTTCATCGTAATGGTGCTCGTGTGATTGGCCTTGGTTTTGGTTTTTATCTGTTGGCACTGAATAGTCACTATCAGTTGTCAATCTAAAGCATTGAAAAAATGATTTTTAAGAAATATTTCATTAAACATGTGTTAGAATACAAACGTGAATTTGAATTGTTACACAACTAACACACCGTTTACTGCAAATTTAAGTAATTTTGAACGTGGGGAGAAAAAGACGAATGGTTTTCGATAGGTTCAAATTCTTTTTTTGCTGGCAGTATCGAACTAGACCCCAATTTTATCACCAGTTACAAGGTATTAAAATATGAAAAGCATTGGTTGAACGGTTCACAATTCAATGCACGGAAACGACATTTTCTTAACAATAAAAAGGACCATAACTCATGAACTGCAAATTTTAAGTAAGAATTGTTAATATCGACTTTTACCTCCATTTTGTAAAATTTATAAAATTTGAAAAATGTTTTAAAAAAATCAATTGCTGTGTGTTTACTTATATTACTACTTTTAATATGATTTTGCAATAATTAAACACTTATTACCAATTTGGCAATTATAATAGTAATTATCATTCAAGTTTATATGATGAAACAGGAATATAAAAACCACAAATAATCACTGGAGATTCCGTCACAGAAACCACCAAAAAGGGTTATCACGTACTTGAAAAACTGAGTAATACCCTTTTATTCATAAAGAAATCAGTGGGGGTAGGAATGTGCTTATTTTCGTTAAAGTTCCTGCCAATATAATACTTCCATGGTAAAACTAATCGAATCTAATGTAATATTTTCTTAAGCTACATATGTTACGATTTCAAAAAGAATGCGCCAGAAGAAAATGATAATTACCTTTTATAAACAATGACAACTGATATTACAATACACAATAACAGTGCCAATCCAATAGACAGTCCGATAATTAATCCTGTATATGAAATATAAATTTAAGATGTTATTCTTTCGTAGAGTTAAGACAGAAAACACTTTGAAAACCTTACCTAGAAAAAAATCATTATGTACATTCTTGGTACCACATATGGAAAGAGAGACAAAAAGTCAACCAATGCCACTAATCATCAAAGAAAAAAATCACTAAGCAGTTCTGCGGCTAACATGTATTAACAAAAAATACCGTATTTAACTAATCTGGGCATGAATGTTTCCTAACTCACTTTGTTCCATTAAGCTGGATACCTCTAAGGAAAAACAATTACTTACTCTCTTTCTTCTGGATTCAGTATGAATCATATCACTTTGCATTCATTACAATTTTTAAATTGTAAACATTAAGAAAAATTCCAGATAGTGGTGTCTCAGCACAAATCTATCTTTATCTTTGAGATGACATTATTCATCGGAAAATGTCTGTACCAAGTCAGGAATATAGAAGTTGTTTTTCACTTGTTAAGATGATTGAAAGTGTTTGATTTTGACCGTTTTTTGTGGACTTCCTGTTTTTGAATTTGCCTTCGAGTTCAGTATTTTTGTCATACGTTTTCACCCTTTGTTTTTTTATCTGTTTTTGAAGGTTCAGTAACTCGTAAGATAAAAATGGCTCCTGTTTGGTTGCAACAGTTGTGTTCGAAGGATAGGCGCTACGATACAAAAAAAAATCGTCGTCAAGAATCTACTCTCGTCATTTCATTCACTTGTAATAGAAAACAAACAGGCAATATAGCAGATCATGTCATACATTTCAACATTAGGATATATTTTGTACATGAGATACACCATATCGGTAAATACATAAATTGCATGTATGTTTTACATTAATAAATATTTGAATAACAAAATCTGCTAGGCATTTCGAAATTAAAATTTATTTTCAATGAAATAACACGTACCACTTATCTACCACTTTGTAAGTAACAAATCAAACATTTCTTTGTTCAATTAGAGTCCAATCCTGCTGTATCTATGATTTTTTAATACCAAAGATTTTGCCTTTTTTCAGTTATATTTTGCATCAATGAGATTTTATTTTCAAGAAGTGTGAAAATTAAACTTTTATCATCCTTTGAATGAGGCTGAATATATTCTTCCATTAACTTTCTGATGTTAACAAAACTGAAATATGGATAAGTATTACCTGCATTTGCAATGCCTTCGGATATCTCCCCAGAATCTGTGGTATTTGGTACAAACCCTGGAACCAATAATCTGTTATTTACATCATTACAGTTGAACAAGACAAAAGAAATAAACAAATGGCAAGTTAGAGACTTAAAGACTCATCACATAACTTTACTTCAGAATCTTGAAATTGTTGCATTCATATAATGGAATCGTAAAATTGTCAAGTTGTTTTCATATTATTTTCTTTTGGTTAACAGAAGAATCCAATTTGAACCATATCTAATCATCCATTGAAAAATGATGTTAACGTCTGGTTATTACTTTAAGGATAAATAAGGTATCGAGATTCGATCGTCGCTAATGATGAAATGCAAGTAAAGCGTATTACGAAAAAAAATACATATTATTACATGCCTTCTTCAGCATTCCAACGATAACAGCTATCGGAGGAGTTTGATCCTTTTTCGCTAGTTATCATTCCATGTGGGCATGGATAGCAAAAGTCCTGTCCACTCATGTGTTGATAGTAATGTCTTTCACAAAAGGCACAACTGGAAGCACTTGGAACATAATACTGACCTGATGGACAGTTATCTAAAGAAGAAACAAAAAACAAAAATTTAATAAAAAGTGAAGCATGTTTATACTTTTCCTATAATTCGTATATATGTAAAACTGAGCAGTGGTCAGACATTAGTTTTTCTAAAGTCTTACTTTATGCATAACATATCATGATATATTAAGACACAAGATTGTGTATGAAAACATCAGCTGTGTAATATTAAGTTCATTGTAATTCCACAAATATGTTCAATAGAACTTCTTAGGTGTAATTAATGAATATTAATCCTTGCCTTTTATCTAATAAACGAACCAAACTATGAAAACTTAACATTAACCAATGACCATGAAAATTAGGTCAAGTTGAGATTCAACTGCAAGACAGACATGTAAACCTTATAATGATTCTATACACCAAATATATTTGATTATTTTAATTGCTTCTTATATCTGAGAAACAGACCAAATTACAAACAACAGTATTGTCTAATTTATCATGAAGTACAGTGAAGGTCAGATGAAAACTGTCAGATGGATGAATGTCCGTTTGAATGGTTTTACACTAGTAATTTTTTTGGGGCCCTTTATAGCTTGCTGTTCGGTGTGAGCCAATGCTCCGTGTTGAAGGCCGTACCTTGACCTATAATGGTTTACTTTTATAAATTGTAACTTGGATGGAGAGTTGTCTCATTGGCACTCATACCACATCTTCCTATATCTATGTTCATCTTACAATCATTTTATACACTAAATACGGCTGATCTATCACTTATAGTATCTTGGAAAAGACCAAGCCACTAACTTATTATTGACCAATGAAACATGAAAATAAGGTCAGGATCAGATGAAACAGGCTAGACGGATATGATCATTCTATATACCAAAGATAGTGATCTACTGCTTGTAGTTTCTGAGATACGAACTTGATCATGTTGATCACAAACAGTTAACTTTGATGAGTTATCCTTAAATGTGGTCGAGGTAGGTGAAACCTGTCTGACAGACATGTACGACTTGCATTGTTTCATGTATACACCCACTATAACAAGAGATAAATTAAAATGATAAAAACACTACATAATTTTCAGTCTTTTGCTGAACCATGAAAATAACGTATGACTGACGGTAATTTCCATACATAAGGCATTGTTATGCAAGATATGACACATTTAGTTCGTTTGCCTTCTTTAATAAAAAGAATTATGCAATTAGCATTTGACGCCACTGCATAGACATAGATATGTCTAGTATTCTGCAACTTTCGGAGAGCCCAGAAAACGTAATTATAACGACATCTGAAAAGCATATACAAATGTTATACCACGCATATTTAATCCCATGCATGTTAAGCACAGATCAATAAGATCAATGTGTGAAAGGCATCCTTAATATAGCTGTCATTATGTGTTTCGCGGGATTTAAAAGGTTTCAGAACTACAAAATGTATAATGTTGCTCAGTTTTTTGTTGCTATATTGTGTTTTGTATACTGTTGTATACTGTAGTTTGTCTTTTGTTTGTCATCGAGTTGTCAGTTTATTTTCGACTTGTGAGTTTAAATCTTCTTCGGTATATTTCGCCTTACTTTTACCAATTGAATGCAATGCAATGGATCCTGGATCTAAAATTGGCATTATAATTATTACCAAATTATATATAAGAAGAGTTTTTTGCGTCTTTAACCTGTTCGAGTGTTTTTTTCACTTCTTTTTCTGAAAGATGACATATTTACGCATCTGAAGGGTAACATTATATTTATAGTCAGTTATCAAAAATGCACGTTCACAAATTGTTGTATAGCTTTATAACTGTAAGAATCTTTTTTATACTGGCTATAAATGCGTAAACGGAGGTACATTTTAGAAAAGCTCGAAATACATCAAGGATTTACTGTATAAAACAGATGCACTTGCCAATTTTCGAAAGACACAATTGTACAATTACACCTCACTGGACGACCATCAACGTTAACATAGACATTACTTAGCAAACCCATACCAATATATCTATGATATTAAAGGAAGCCCCTGACAAAGCGTGAGATATTTAAAACCTAAAAGAAAAATAATGGCCTGGTTTATAATTTATATATATTAGAATAGCCACATTTACTTTAATAAGTAAACCCTGTTTTAAATTACTGAAATGTCGATTAGTAACTAGACATCAATACCTGTATAAATATATATTTAAAATTGAATATGATAAATGTTACAAATGATACAAACAATATACAAATACCCGACTGCAACGTTAAAATGATAAGGAACAGAAAAAAATATAAGGGACCAGCAGATTTATCTTGATCTTATCGTAATCTACGATCTCTTAACGGGGCATTAGCTACGAGATTAATGAAATCTTTTAGCAGCCAGTTTGCCTCAGTTTTGTCAAAATAAGTTAAGAAGCATCGCTGATGAATTATTCACTTGCAAGTAAATAAATCAACTTCAATGAATCTATATTCATGTGACCTTAAATTTAACCTCTTAGCTAAAGAATGGTTATGCATATACTAGTCGTGTTCAGCTATAAAAAGGAAAAGACGGTCAACATTGAAAATAATACAATGATAAACCATTTGGTTTACTGATTTTGATCTACCAAAACTCATTCTGATACAGGTAAAAGCGATTATTAACATATTTTTTAACCTATAATATATAAAATCCAACAGACCTAGAAAAAATCAATTGCACGAGTTCGCTATCTATTTATAACGTTATACGTTTGTATCGGGTTATGTGACCGTCGGCCGTTTTTGGATGTCATCCAGATGATTTATTAGATGGCTTCTAGACTAAAATACACACGAAATGCTAATACATATTATCGAGTACATGCATCTTGAATTGCTTATTTTAGAAATTTCATCATTTCAATATACGTTTTTGTATGTTATAAATCAAATAATATATGAAATTTTGAGTCAAATTGGTAAACACGAATTTGAGAGCTAGTGCCTTTTAAACAACGCGAACAAAATAAGATGTGACTTTCCGTTGTAAAACGAAATACAGCCGAATTTCCCTAACCAAATCTTTTGATCTCTGAATGATTTTCATGAAGGCTTACAGCAATTTCTCAGATCATTATTCATGACTTATAAGTTATACATATAGTTTGTTCATTTATATATACAGAATATTATGTACCAAAGATTCGGGTAGGGCAAATAAAATGGAAACATAAACACATAAGAAAATGAAGAATTAAGTGACAAAAAAAATAGGGAATAGAAAATTTCCTGTCTGTTAATTTTAGTATAGAGTTTTCCGTGTAAAATCGAAATATCGAAATTATAAAAAAAAAACACGTTTTGCTGTTCATACACAAATTTGTTTGGTTGAAGTTCTGCGGAATATATAATTAGAAAATTTTGATAATTTTAAGCAAATATATATTATGATGAACGTTATGGTAATATTTTTATTAGACTTCATAAGAAAAATATTTACAGAGTTTGAAATGACAATAAACTCAAATTGATAAAAATGCAAACACAACTCTGCAAGTTAGCAGGCTCAACCAGTTATAAAAGGAGCATGTGAGAGCTATTTTCCTAATGCTTGTAGTTTAAAGGTTTGGTTGGCGTGTTTTCTTTGTTTGTATTAATGTTTGCTCAGGCATTGTTATTAAGATTGACATCTGCAATCAATACAGATATTGATATCAGCTTGTATACATTATACTTATCAATGTTATTCGATGTTAAGTATAATGCAGAGTGTATTGTATACAAGCTGAAGCCCCGCCTATCAATTGATTGCAGATGTCAATCTTTATTACAATGCTTGAAGAAACATTTATACAAACAGAGCAAGCAAGCCAACCAAGCCTTTAAACTACAAGCATTAGGAAAATAGCTCTAATAAAATCTATAACCGGAACATGCATATATGTTGTCAAATAGAATTTGTATAGCTTTTTCTTATCTGCTCTCAGGTCTAGTATGTATATCTTTTATAAGTAATTATTACTAATTTTGTAGAAAAACTTTAAAAAAATAAATCTGCAGATATTACCAAATAACAGTCAAGACAAGTGTAGCTTCCATGATATTTTCTATGTGTTCTAAATCCACAACACAAATAAGAATCATTGATTTTATTGCTCTTCGCAGTCTAAGTCTAAACAATTCCGATTGTTTAAAAACAAAACAGAGGCTTTGAATGTCATTTAAATATTTTATAATTGCAAAAGAAAACTAACCTATACAATCAGTAAATGAATCTGAACCAACGTTTAGTGTTGTTTTAGATGATTCACATGATTCACAGACTGCTCGTCCTACATTAGTTTGGTATGATCCAATGGTACAAAACTCACACGTCAATGTTGTGTCATTTCTATATGTTCCTTTTCCACACTCAACTACAAAAAGATTATCATAAATACTCGGATACAACAGTATTATTATACAAAAGACTGCTGTGCTCGTTCGACATTCTTGTAGGTTCCACAAAATTAACAAATGACATCTTAATGCATTCTTATATTTATTTGCGCCAAGACGGCAATTTTTCACACCATGACATAATTCGAAGCACCTTTTTAACGGGTATGAAAAGTCTAATGATGGGGATGCTAGTATACGTAGCTGTATTCTGTTTTTCACTGCATGTGAGGTAACTGCATGAAGAGGCTCGGATTTTAAATTCGATAATATAACTATCTCGATTTGACAAATCCGATAACCCACTGGTAACGATGTAAGAATCTATATATATATATATATATATATATATATGTATACTGATGAAGGATATCTGTTATCTCAAATATTTATAGATAATAACATTTAATGTTTCTTTTTTTAATATTGGTGTTGTTTTGTACAATTTTAATGCGTTTATATAATTTATTTATTGTGTACAGGTATCGTTACTCGTAACGATCCAACGCCCTCGTAAAAAATCGTTGACTATTATCTAGACGTCCTTCTCTAGATTCGCCTTACGTGACAAAGTAACAGTACTACTATTGAAGATATATTTTTAAATAGCGGATGTGGTCGAGTGGTCTAGAGCGCTGGTCATGCGGCTAAGCGATTGGTGCTTTAGTGTATCAAAGGTGTGAGATCGAATCCCGTTGAGGGACAAAAATTTGTCAGCATTTAAATCTAACTCTAACTCTGTTGGGTTCAATTTTCAGACTTATATAAATATTTGTATTTACCCTGTATCTCAAACACACTGACATCCAGTGGGCATATATTTTATATGGTTGTCACTTGCTTAGACTTGCTTGTATGATATACTTATTTCTAGTGACTGTATATAAAATGAATCATTATCCCAAACGGTATATAACAAATTTTTGAGTTAGATTGCTGACAAATAAAAATACATTGTGTATAAAAAAATAACATAACATCTAAACACGCTTGAAACACAAGGTAACACTACGACTATTGAAGTTATATTTTCATATAGCGGATTTGGTCGAGTACTTTAGAGCGCTGGACATGAGGCTAAGCGATTGGTGCTGAAGTGTATCAAAGATGTGAGTTCGAATCTCGTTGAGGTACAAAAATTTGTCAGCAAAAATATCTAACTCTAACACCGTTGGTTTAATTTTCAGACTTATATACATATTCATAATATAAATGCATGTTTATGTCAATTTATGCAAATCAATACTGCTTTGGGCAAAACTTTGGGTGACACAACTAAAATCAAATCTCTTCTTATTTACATTATCCAATTGAAATTAAAATTGAACCGACAAGTTGAAGTGACTGGTTACAAAACAATTTGTGATCACCTTTGTAAGTTTCTTTGTAATTTGAAGCTGTGATAAAAATAAAGTATCTCGTAATTTTTAACCTTTGTTAAGCATATATTGGATATCGATATTCAAGAAAACGTCTAAAAATGTTTTTTCATGACTAATTATGATGAAGCCCTTTTTGTAATGAACATGATCTATAAGGGGTTTACAAGCGTTTGAAGCTTTTTAAAACTTACCACATTGTTTCCTAACAACCATGTAGCCATTAGGACAGGATGAACTTACATCTATGGTAACTGAATCCCCTTCCAGCTGTGCACCTGCAACATTCTGAAAAAGTAATGCTACAGTGATCATTGAATATCGTTTTTATCGGTACTGATATTGATTGTCTTTCTAATTATTTAACATATAGCTTAATATGCCTTTCTATACATTTATGAAAACGTACAATATGATCCTACATCATGTTGATACTTATATTTTCGCATGTCACAAGATCATGCCTTTCTCGAACTTTTAATGGCGTTTTAACATCATGTACTGATTTATAAGTAGTTTCATGTGGATGTATTGGAACTAGCTGTCAGTAATTGAGAGAACATCGAGTGTTTTATTTCTTCGTTACTCTGTTTAGTTTCTTGTTGGAATGATTAGTCATGCACTTATCAAACAAAGGAGACCGACAAAAGCACAGAAACTAAATCAATCTTAGTACCGATAACACAATATCTAGAGCTTTCCCTACGTTGTTAAATTGATAACCTCTGTGAATAAGTTTATTCATAGGATCAATGAGTATAAATGGATCGCTTCTAAGCTTATTTCGTATTCTTGATAAGCAGATTTTTTTATATTTAATTATACGTCAGTTACATCAGACGTCAATATAGAAAATAATGATCATTCCACTTGAGACTGTGAAACATCTAGTATTAGATATGTTCCCTATGGTCATGTCATTACAGGAGACCTCAACATCGTAGAAGACCGTGAGGTCAAAACTTTTCTTAAGAAAGGACCTAAATATCGTCGTTCTCCATCTATTATAGATAGGAAACAGTGTCGTCAGTTCATTAAGGACGCTCTGTCTGCCTACTGAAAAAAATGGTGTTAACGTGAACAGTCTGATAAAAAATCTCTAGACAGTTATTTGTATTGAATTATGAATACTGTTGGTATTGGTATTTTTCATTTTGAAAAAAATTCTGGAATTGATAATAGGGTTCATGTTATACCCATTTATAGAATAAGTAATTAACTCCAAGTACTGGCACAGTGGTCTGTGTTCGTACCGGCAGACAAAGCTGCCAATAATGTAGTTATGGTGTGACGCATATACTACACGGAAGTTCTCCAAAAACGAAATTATCAATTCCTCTACATTCAGGTCCGTACGCATTACAGAGATTCAAATTGTAAACAAGCATACTGCTGCCACTACCCAGCTTAAAGCCTCTTCCAAACATTTGAAAATCCCGACTATGTAAATGATGTACTGGTTACCTAAATTACACAAACAACCATTTAAATGTCGTTGCATCTCCACATTTAGTAAGTGTTCTACTACTAATCTGTCAGTGCTTCTAACTACCTCCCTTACTACTATCAAAGAACTTGTTATTAAGTTTTGTAATAAAGCTTATGAAAATAATGGTATTAATTATTTTTTGAGTGTTAAAAATTCTTCAGAGGTTTTAGATAAAATATGTGCTTTTGATGTTCCTTTTAATTCTGTTGACAGTTATGATCTAACTACTCTCTACAATACACTTCCACACAATCTCATCAAGAAAAAGTTGTCATATTTAATTAAATGGTCTTTTGAAAAATCTCATTGCAAATTTATTTCTAACGAAAAATGTAATTATGCTAGATACATTTACTGGAAATGTGATGATATGATTGAAGTTTTAAATTTTCTCCTGGACAACACATATGTACGTTTCGGTGTTAAAGTGTATCGACAGGTAGTAGGTATTCCTATGGGCACTAATTGCGCCCCTGTTATAGCAAATTTATTCCTGTATTGCTATGAATCTCAGTTTATGACCAAACGCAGTAAAGTCACGTAATTGTTACATTTGGTTGACGCATTCAACAATATCTAACGTTATCTTGATGATATTTTTTCGTTAAATAATCCATAGTTCTCTTGATATACTACCGAAATTTACCCGTTTTGTTATATTTGTTTTTGATCGAGTTAAGCCATTTTAATTGATATTTCGTAGTGTGTCTTTCTATGTTGTAATGTTATACTACTGGTTCAGGTAAGGGTGAAGTTTGGCGCCTGTTAAAACTTTTAAATCCGCTGCATTTGTTTGCACCTATCCTAAGTCATGACCCTGTTGTTCAGTGGTTGTCTTTTGTTGGTGTTTCTTGTTTTTTATATAGTTTAGACCGTTGGTTTTCCTGTTTTAATTGTAACCCGGATTTGTTTTCTCTCAATCGATTTATGACTTTTGAACAGCGGTTGCCTTTATTTACACTAGTCATTGTGAGACCCTTTATAACTTGTTGTTCGGTGAGAGACAAGGCTCCGTGTTGAAGGCCGTACTTTGACCTATAATGGAATTTGATGCGACTGTCATACAAGTGAGAGGTTTAGCGCTATAAAACCAGGTTCAATCCACCATTTTCTACATTTCAAAATGCCTGTACCAAGTCAGGAATATGACAGTTGTTGTCCATTCGTTTGATGTGTTTTATCATTTGATTTTGCCATTTGATTATGGACTTTCCGTTTTGAATTTTCCTCGGAGTTCAGTATTTTTGTGATTTTACTTTTTACAAATTCTGACTTGTATGGAGAGTTGACTCATTGTCACTCATACCACATCTTTTTATATCTAATTATGGGTTTATTAATAATAACACAGTAAAATTTAGGGTGTGATATCTTCTTTTTTTACAAATGTTTTAGTAGGAATTCTTCCGATACAGCCAAACTTCCTTTGATTATCAAATCTCTGTATCTATGGAAAAATTATTAAAAGTTTAAAATAATTTGTGGTAATAAAGTCCATGAGTTAATAATTTACCAGGTATTCATAAATTACGTTCATTAAAATTAAGAAGAAGAAAAAAAACCGATTCCGAAGAGTCCACCAAACTCAACTAATATTTTTTAGAGCAAAAAGTTCATCATAAAGAGCATGTCCTCATCGATGTATTTATTGTATAATATCTGTTAAATGAGAGGATATTTTTATTCAGCATGAGTGTAAATCTTCGAAAAATTCCAAGTCCTGGTATAATTGAAATGTTTAATTGAAGATTCTTGAATGTCGATTTTGAAGAGTATTTTAATAATGCACCTATGATTGACACAAGACAATATTTCTGAAAGCTATATTTTACTGTAGAAAGAATAGCAGTAAGAACTTTTAGAAAGAAATATGTTTAATCAAACATCTTGACAAGACGGCAAATGATCTTTCTTTAATAAGATTTGGAGTATTACTAAGAGAAAGAATTTCTTGAGTGGCATAGTTATCTCAGTAATCGTGTGAATTATCAAAAAATCAAATAAAAATCATTGAAAACGGATCTTACAAACATGAACATCATTTCTGTAGTTTAACTTTCAGAAAGGAAAATGAAAATGGTTTGATATAGAGTAACAGTAATTCATTAGACACTCAATCAACCTTATAGCTTAATAAGGGTGTTCCAATTATTTCATCTTAAGTTTTAAAGCAGGTTCTCTTGTGTATTTAGAGGGAAACGTTTATGCAAATTTGTAATCAAAGGAAGTGATTGTCTCTGGTTGCAAGGTTTTATTCCAAACAAAACCGAATGCAGTCCGTTTGAAGAAGAATTTGCATGTGAAATGCCTGCAGGATCAACATCAACAATTTGAAATTTTGTCATTTTATTAAATAAACAAATTAGATAAATTTCACTTACATTAAAATTTAGACCATTTTCCTGTAGTATAAAAATCAATATAGCTTCTCTAACTTTGTATGTTTTTCCATTTCTATCTATGTTTGCTCTGCAAACAAAAATGAAAGTGTTCATATATCTATCATATTTTCAATGTTTTGTTTCAGGTAAACAATATTCAATAATACATCTTATCGCGATAGCGTAGTATTTTTTTTTTTTATATAAAACTCCGATATGTTCTTATCAACAAAGAAAAAGAAATAACAAGGATTACAAATAATTGGAAAGCAACACATACCGCACGAACCAAAAACACAAAATTCCTCTGGAAGATATACGTACATGTACAAACATTATCCGATTTCATAAATAAAAACAATATGTACAGTGGCAAAATGAAGAAAAAGGTTGGAGATCATCGCTTTCGTTCAATTTACGAAAAGCACAAATAAATCTTAAATTTTACGAATAGGTACATATAGTCTAGATAACACACTGGTTTTCCTAATATAACATTACCTTACCTCCTATACATTTCTAGTAATATCATTGGTTAAAAGTAACCGCGTGTATATAACACACAGGGTTAAAAGATGTGTTAATTTCAATACATGGTTAGTACGAGTGTTACGTCCCTTTGCAAAAACAAAATGGTGTTGAGGGAAAATCTGAAAGGTTTCAACAGACGAAGAAATTGATGATGAACGATTGAAATAAATTCACAAATCACATTAAAAGCTAACAAGTTGTTATTGTTGGCATTTGTTTTTGTATAGACCAATGGAAGCAGGTCTTAATATCGAAGACTTGATCACTTTGATAGGCCACTAGTCTAAATAATACATATTAAGATAGTCGGTAAGACAAATTCGTTACACAGTGTGCTAGTGACCTAATACGATATATATGGGGTCATTAAATTCTGTATGGGGATTCGAGCTTTGCTCTCACCCCATATGGAATTTACTGACCCCATATATATCGTATTAGGTCACTAGCACTCTGTGTAACTAATTATACAGTTATAGAGATCTAAAACAAATCCGGGTCACAGATCAAAACCGAGGAAAACACATCAACTATAAAAGAAAAACAACGGAACAACAGAATCACTGAACTGCAACAAAAACAAACGCCAACATACATGGAAACGGACTATTTAACAACAACTACCATATTCCAGACTTAGACCAGGACATTTTAAGAAAAGATGTTTTGGTTGAACCTGGTTTTATTACAAACCAAGCCTCCCACTTATATGGCAATGTTAAAAGATACCGCTAACATGACAACATTACGTGACAGAAATACAACACTCAGGACAGAGAAATACATATTAAATAGATAATATCATAGTACATTACAACATGTAAACCACAGAATAGCAACGGACGCCTCTCATACATTTACGATAAAACCATGAAACCACAATAGAATTATAAACTGTGCGTCATACAAATGTATCAACGCCACAAAAAGTGACGTATTTTTGTGACGTTTATTTTATCAGAGGTAAATTTCCCCAAAAAAAATATATAATTGGGATTGAGTTTGTAATGGTGTAATAATTTGTATTTTCAAACCCTGTCGGCTTTTCAAATCAGATAAACAGTTATATACTGACATACAAATCTTAAAATTCACATCAAACACAGTCGAAATATTACTAACAATAATTAACTAGAGGCTCAAAAGAGTCTGTGTCGCTCACCTTGGTCTATGTGCATATTCAACAAAGGATGCTATCCAACATTGTAGACGAGAATAGAATTCATGACATAGATCTTTTTTTTTTTGAAGATCTTTTATTGCTGATCATTTAGTCTGTTCAGTTTCTCTCTATATTCTTCAGTTGTTGCTCAAGACACAAAAGAGGGTAAACAAATCCTCATTTAAGAACAGTCACTCTCATAAAGAGTGACAGTTTACTAACTATATCGGCAAAATTTGACTTGTTAGTAGATCTTGCCTTGCTGATCATTTTTGTGATTTAAAGTGTCTATTTATCTATTATAATTTTTATCATATAAGGAATAAAACGTAACAAAAATGGTAAAATTCGTCATTTAAGGGCAATAACTATACAATAAGGAGTTGCCGGACGATTTTCGCCATATTGCCTTTAATGTATAAAATTATCTGTCTGATCATTTTTGCTTATCTAAGTTTCTTTCTATCTTTTTTAGTTTTCAAGATAATAGGCAAAAATAAAAAAAGGTAAAATTTGTCATTTAAGTGAAATAACTCCTTTCAGAAGTCGTCTGACAGTTTTGGCGTATATGGACAATTGGTAGAGCTCAACATTCTGAATATTTTTGCTCAGGTCTAATTTTCTCTATTTATGACGCTTTTCAAAATAATAGACAAAACGCATTTTGCCCCTATGTTTTTTTCCAGCCATGTCGGCCATCTTGGTTGGCAGGCGAGGTCATCGGACAAATTATTTAAACAAGATTACCCCAATGGTGATTGTAGCCAAGTTGGATTCAATTTGATTTGTCAACTGATGAGAAAAGCTCACCTGGCCTTTTATGACAGGTGAAAAAAAAACAAGAGGCTCTCAAGAGCCTGAATCGCTCACCTGTAATGTTTTGCTTAAATCTTTCATCAATGATTATTTTTGCTTTTCATTATATATTAATGAGTGGCTTAAAAATGCCATTTAAATGTTCTTTGTATCTGTCATATTTTCTTCAAAAGCAAAAAAATGCATTTTACCCTATGTTCCATTTTAGCCATAGTGGCTATTTTTCTTGACGTACAAGGAAATGAAATACAAAATTTATACTAGATACTCTGAAACTCATTCAGCCCAAGTTTGGCTGACATTGATTCAGCAGTTTTAAAGGAGAAGATTTTTTTAAAGTTAGAAAACATGATAAACAAATTGTGTACAATTGTCCTTAAAGGGCAATAACTTTTTAAGACGTCAATTGACAATTTTGGTCATATAAAAACTTATTTGTATACCTTACTTTGCTGAACATTTTTGCTGTTTACAGTTTATCTTTATCTATAATAATATTCAAGATAATAACCAAAAACTGCAAAATTTCCTTAAAATTACCAATTTAGTGGCAGCAACCCAACAATGGGTTGTTGGATTCATCTGAAAATTTCAGGGCTGAAAGAACTTGACCCAATGAACATGTTTGCCTCCATATCAGATTTGCTCTAATTGCTTTACTTTTTTAGATATAAGCCAAAACAGCATTTTACCCCTATGTTCTATTTTTAGCCATGGCGGCTATGTTTTTTTGACAAAACAAAAAACAAAACACAAATTTTATTTTAAATCCCCTAAGGATCATTCAGCTTAAGTTTGGTTGGAATTGGTTCAGTAGTTTCAGAGGAGAAGATGTTTGAAATAGATTACACCGGACGGACGACGACGACTGATGCCAAGTGATGGCAAAAGCTCATATTTCCTATGGAAAAGTGAGCTAAAAAGAACTTCTTCCGCTAACTTACATTTAACACTATTTAAAGAATGAAAGCTAGACGAAAACAGTAAGACAAAGGTTTTCGAAATAAATGACGTAGTAATTTTTGAATAATTGGTTGATCATTACGTCACGAATTTAGTAGCAATGAATAACATAAACCTTTACTAAATTATTTCACAGATTAAATGATTTGTTTTTGGATGCTTGGTAAACATGTAAAACTTTATTTCGAACAGGATATTACATTTTTACGGTGAATAAATCATAAAGTAGGACACGATCCATTTTTACATAATTGTCATATGAACTAACCTATCCCTAAAGTCTATCAAACTAACAAGAGATATTAAAAAATATTGTCTTTATGGGTTAAAATAGTTAATTAAAAGATTTTATTTTACATTAAATAGATTTATCTCCAAAAAGTATTACTTACGATAGCTGAGGTAATGTAAAAGTAACGTCTATATATTTAGAGTTTCTCCGACAAACAGCATTCCACTTACACTGACTTCCACACCAAATCATTCCTGGCCATAAGTTTGGAAGATCTATCTTAAGTTTCACCTCCAAACCTGTCTTGACATTTGATGGAAATGTTGGAACACAGTTGGGTACAGTTTTGTAAGTAAGGCTTACTGATAAAGCTATGGTCTGATTTTGTTGGCCTATAAGAAAATAACTAACATGTAGGGGACATTTTTTTTTATTTTTAGATAAACAAAGTTAACTTAGTTGGAGAATGTAAAATAAGAGTACTACATAGTGATGCTCCTCGAACAATCAAACAATATCACTTAAATTTAAACCTTGAAACAAAATTTAGTTAGAAATCTCTTCATTCCCAAGAAATTGAAAAACAGCAAACTACATCAACCATAAACAACCAATTTGCCTAATAAGAATAAACTGTGTACACAGAGATATTTCCCGGCGGTGTGACCAGATAACAGTCGTAGAAACCATCAACACCCGAAACAGTACGTGTAAGTCTCGTTTCCACAGCTTAAGAAAAAAGTAAAATATCAAAAAAATCGAACTTCAAGAAAATTCAAAACGGAAAGTCCCTTATCAAATGGCTTAATCAAAAAAAGATCGAACACATTGCAAACACTTGTATATCAGTCGCATAAAATTCCATTATATTGACAACATGTGTGAACAGAACAAACAGACATATTATGTACAAATGTCAAAAATAGGGGTACAGCAGTCATAATTGTGTTATAATCTTATCACTATAAAAACAAACAATTATGCTGTAGGCAAAAATAACAAACTATATATATAAATATATATTATTATCATAGAATATTCTAGAATCTTACTACAATATATTCTCTTTTACGCCTAGGAAATATGTTTGTAAGTAGGCAGATTTATAAAACACATTGTTAAAACTTAAATCCTTGGAATGATTACGATAATGGTCGGTTAAAACTGGTAAAGTATACGTAGATTCAGAAAACATTTTGTAAATACGACATCGGTCGACGTCCTCTATTTCATTAGACAATTTCAAATCGTCTCCATCGGACAAGTTTTTAACCTAGATACCTCACGAATAAAAGGGGTCAAACATTATTTCAAATCAGTCGAGTAGTTTCGTAGACATTTGATGTAAGAGGCTAACGGACGACGAAAGACAAGTGATATGAATAGCTCCCACTGGCCAGTTTTCATCAATTTAAAAATCAATCAAAATTCAATTCAATTTATTGTATTTAAATCTATGTGCTTCTGATGAAAGGTTCACAAAATCCGTATTAGCAAATAGAAATTTACAAATTACAAGTATGAAAAAATGGGTAAATTTCACCTGAAAATATATATATATAAGCAAGAAAATGTACAATATTGAACAGAAATCATCGCGGTTTGCCAAAGGCTCTTTGCATGACACAGACGGATAATGTGGCAATGTCATTTTTAATAAATTCCCTAAATGATTTCAGAGGGGGATCGAAATATTACTAATACCAAGAAACATCATTTCTTATAAATGATGTCAGCATGTATTTTAGTTTTTGCTGTGGGTAATAAAAGATTGAAATCTACGTTTTATCAACTGTACAAACCTCCGCACGCTGGCAAAATAAATTTCTTCATTGGATGATCAAAATTATAGACACCCAACGCTCCACATCTGTATTTAAGCTTGTGTTTTATAGATATCGCTTTTCCAGATGGACAATTTAATCCACAAATATGTTTACTGTTCAAGCAATAACCAATATCTGCATCAGTTTCTGGTCTAGGACAATCAGCATCTGTAAGGTTACACAATAACTTTCTAAATCAATATTTGTATTTATAACTATCCTATATTTTTCTATAACAATTTTAGAAATCGAATACTAGTATATTTTAAAAAAAATGGATCAAAATGGTCTAGGTTGTTATAATAAAAATAATACACATTTTTCGAAACGAAAGACACCTCATGAGGATAATAGTTGGATTGAGTAACTGGTGCAGGTGCATATGAATATACATAAATATTGGTGGGGTATAAATATTTGAATAGTTTAAAGATACTGAATAGTTTATGTCACGTTTGAAAAGGACAAACAACTAAATATATGGTGAGTTAGAAGTAGGTTACTGTGGCAAATAAGAATACATATGATTGACACAGGGAATCTGGTAGATTTTATTATATCTATTTCATGAGGTGGAAGGTCATGATCTATCTATATGGGAAAAACCCTAAGGTAAATTACAATTAGATAAAATATGTGTTTAACTTAATGGTTTGTGTGAAACCAAAATATCTAATCAAACAATTATTGAACTTGAATTCAAGGATGAAGGTCATAGATAATCTGTTACGGAGCGAAACATATCATCTTGAAGTAGTTATCCATCCATTAACCATATATCATAGTCTATATCAAAGTTAAATGGCTGGATTTTTGTCATAAGAAGTCAATTAGAATTATTACGCATAACTTGTAGTTGCATATCATACACCTACGTGCAATTATATCATCATTTACAAAAAAGTTTGATTAGTTTCTATGGATGGTGTATATGTCCGTCATATAAAAAGTCATATGAAACGAGTTTCTGTTGAAAATAATGTAAGGGTAATTATTAATCCAATGCATGCATTTATACTGAACTAAGTCCTATGTGTACGGTTTTTATGAAAATTATGAAAATTATGAAAATAATGTTAGGAAAATTATTAAACCAATACATGCATATATACTAAACTAAGTCCCTTCGAACTAGCGCTGTGTGATGGCCCAATTTCTGACGAGAGATGTCAAAGATGTTAAGGTCACTACACTGCATAAGGAAAAGCTGTCAGCGAATTAGTGTACGTGAAGACAATAATTCAATAGCAGAATATTTTATGAAAATTTTGATAAAATAAATTCATTTTTTTAGAGAAAGTCTATGTACAAGTGTTTTATAATAAAACTTACCCATGCAAGTTTATAAAAGAATTATTAAATAAATATATTCAACTTTTTTCTTAAATTTGAAATATCATATGACTAAAGATCGTAAAAGTGTCTGTCACAGCTGATTGTACCAATATAAAAATACTTTAACGTTTATGTATCCTATAACAAATAATGAAGGACATGTTGGTTAGTGGGTTTGTACAAAAACATTTTTTTTTCAATAGAATAGAAAAACAATGGATATGGGGTATCCATCCATGACACAAGTTTACCCTTTGTTACTATTGATGTATAATATCAAATAAAATTAGATTAATGAAGATCATATTGGTTAGAGGGCTTGGATAAAAATATCCTTTGTTACAGTTAACCCATATGTGAAGTCAAAAATTTGTCAAAAAGAGGTAGCTGCTCACAACACTAGTAAATAAATTTTAGTCTGTTTTGATTTTAACAAGATCTAAGAAGCCGGAACAATAAATTTTTCGGTCATTTTGGTAAACTTATACTGCCCACACAGTTCGCTTGCAGTAAATTCAGTACTGTTCAGCAGTATCTCAGACAATTCAGTATGATGTTGCTGTGTACGGATGAATAGCAGCTACTAAACAATCTGATCATAGACTGAACAGATCTTAATTGATTGCAGCAAGTGAAATGTTTGAACAGTACTGAATTTACCGCAGTGGATAAGTTTGAAAAAAAACCCTGAATTCTGAAAACGGAGTAATAATTTAGTGTTCAGTTTTTTGGGAGCTGTTCAGGTCAAAATTGGTGATATAAAAAGCCAAAAAGTCGTGTAAACCTTTGTTGAAGCTTACGAATAGATATGATACTATCTGTAAAAACGAACTTTTAGAATTATCAACTTTGTACTCACATTTTACATAAACTTTAAATCTACATATATCATAATTAAGAGCTCCATCATAACCAATGAACACTTCATTGCTGCTACCATATGTATACAGTTCATCTGAAAATAAAATACCAATAAAATTTCAAGAAGACAGCAAACCGGGTTTTAGATAAAGCAACCAAGGGGCATAACTTCTGAAAGGAAGTAGTGAAAATCGTCAGACCAATCCTCACCTCAATTTTGTCATAAGAAACAATATATTAAAATTTAAAAGTATTGAATCAAGTGATCTAAATTTTTCGCAATGAATCGACATAAAAATCATTTACAAATTAATCAAGGACCATAACACAAGAATAGCAGAATTGAAAATCGTCGATATCAGCACTTTTTATCAATAACAACATATTGATTTGATTTTTGATTTTTGGTGTTTTAACGCCACTTTTAAGCACCGCTTTTGGGCTATTTCGTGGTGGCCAGTTTTTATTGGTGGAGGAAGCCGGAGTTCCCGGAGAAAACCACCGACCTTCGATAGGAAAACTGACAATCCTAGTCAATAACAACATATAAAATTTTAGATGTATTGGTCAATCGCGTCTCAAGTTATTTCACGGAAACGACATAAAAAAAAATATGGTACCAATTTTACTGCACAAGATGCGCATTACGAAAATAGATGTCTCTTCTGTGATGCTTGAGACAAAATCATTTGAAAATCCAAAACCTAGTACAAAAGGCTGATAAAATCAAAAAGGACCAACAGTTTAGCAACATCCGGTCAAGTAAGCACAGCTTTGCATGTAGATATAAATCTTGATTTAGATCATTTCTAAAAGTGTATATCAGCAAATTTCAATGCAACAACTCCGTTTTTATTATGCAAGTACCTTATAACTGACTACTGGGCTGTTATGAACCTCGAGGCAGATCACCAATAGAGGTATCGACCCAGTGTAGTAATACAATAAACGGTTTCAATTTGACTTCACAAAATATGAATCACGACAATTAATGTATCGTTATTGACTTATGTTTCAAGCCAAAAATATTTGAATTCAAACCTTAATACAAACGTTGAAGAACTGATAAAACCTATCATTTCACTTTGTGTACTTGTAATATCACTAACAGATTATTTTCATAAACTGAAAATTTAACAAATTTAATCTTCGACAATCTTATATAAAATAGTTTCAAACTTTATATGAAAAGAAATATCAAAATCGCCAATAATAATTATTGATGTATTCTTCTCACTATTTTCAAATGAAAGTTCTGGAGTCATTTTGTCAAATATTGTCAACACCACTTCGAACATACCTATTGAATGTCAAGAATTGTTCTACCCCACTCAGACATACAATAAAGATTCATATTGATCATTTCAATGACGATCATCAATTAGAGTTTTATCTGAAGTTAAACTTACCATCGTGAACTGATGTGTTCACATATTTCACATCTTCAAGCTTGATGTACTTATTTTTCAGGCCTGTAAAAGCTGTTAGACGTTCAGTACCAAGCTTTATTTGATCGTCAGGACATCTTATTTTGGGCCTTGTTCTATCTGTATATATTTCAAACTGTTATTGTCAATATAGAACTATTATGGTTTTTTTAACGTTGCATTTTTCAAATTGGGATATTATGTAAGGATTTTTTTAGTAGATTATTATTGTTTAAAATTTAATAAAAGTATTAACTCATCAAATATACCAGGAATAAAATTTTGCACGCCGGACGAGCGTTTCGTCACGTAAGATTCATCAGTGTCGCTCTAATTAAAACATTAGAAAGCAAAATCAAAGACGGTTGTTAAGCTTTGAAAACCAGCAATTCCGAAAAGGTAGACGAAATACATGTTAGGCAACCTATACCTGGGGTTAGGTAGATAAACCTAAGTGTTCCTAACAATTCAACATTTTATATACAGTAAATTAAGAAAAATGAACATATCATATTTAATTACGGCTTCAATATCTTCAATGAGAAGCATATTTACAAAAATGCCAACATAACCTCATATTGAAATAAGGTCTTTTACAGCATGATTTAAACCTTAATGAAAAGCTCTCTTCGTACCTCTTTTTTAAATTATTAAATTTAGACAAACTTTACCGATTTGATCAATATCTTGTTGTGCTTTGACAAATATCAGAAAATAAGATGAATTTAAAAATCTTATTTCTCATTCCACTAAAAAGCCTAAGACCACATCTATACAAACAGCTACACGAATGATTTTTAAATTAATGATTAAAGATTTGTGAAATTTCGCAAAATGTCATTTAAATGTTGTTGGTTTTTTTTATGTTGAATTGTCCTTCTAACTGTGTTGATCCAAGTGTCATTACTGAATTTCATGTAGACATATCTCACGTCTTGCTTATTGGCATTTAGTTATTCTTTAACTGCTTGTAAATAATCAGAACAAGGTTAGTCTCCTCCTTTTCTATGTATAATAGTCCTCATAAATTAAGATTATAGGAAATTTCGTATGTTCAAAACAGAAAGAAGTTGATATGTGAGCAATTCAAGTGCTAAATATTACTTGACAATGGAAAACAAAACCTCAAAATTATTCTGTTCACAATTACAAAATAAGTAGAAATCGATAAAAGAATAAGCATAAAAATGCAATTGTATGGCTTTACGTGTGAGTATAACGTGAATTGACTGACTTATATGCAAACTCTACAGGAAATGATCCTTCTTTTAGACAATTCCATAATGCATACCTTCATCAAGACATTCAGGGAAATTGATATCACAAACATTGTCATCTCCTGCCCCACTAGGTACTTTTTTAAATGTGGACCTGGTCAGTTTTATATTCGTCCATCCTTGTATCAGTTGGTTTGATGACAAATGACTTATGCTGTCTTTAGCCTTGTATATGTCTATATCATTGAAAACTGTCTTGTAAATCCTCAGTTTTGATATTCTACCAAGAGTATCCCCTGAACCAAAAATTACTTGCCAACTGAAAATGAAACTATGAGAAATGACATTTCAGCAAGGGCCACGCCTGCGGATTTTATGTTAGGCGCAGAAACAACAAATAATGCCAACATATCCCTTGAAACAAACAAAGCAAAAAATGTTCATTGGGTTTTAATTTTTGTAAATTTCTACCCAAGGAATACTTTTCTGATATGTTATACGTAGAATTCACATGTTGTTGATAATTTAAAAATGGCGGTAGACGGCTGATTAGCGTGTTATATTCACGTTTTAACTATTGTTGCATGTGTACCTTAAACAGATGTTGCAATGTTTATCAAAACATCATAAATGATTGCACAAAACATTGTGTCATACTAGTGACCTGTGGAGTCAATGTGAAAATGTGAAATGTCAATGTCAATAAAAACTTTTATAATGTTGACCGATAAATCGATTTATACCCACGTTCCTGCTTACACGAAGGACCTCCATGGCAGAGTGGTCTAAGCGGTTGAACTACTGTATCACTAGCAAATCGACTCTGAGATAATGAATTCGAATCCCGTACTTGGTAGGTGCGTTCGAGTCCAAAATTGTATACGCCAGGCGCATGTTTCGTCAACAAAAGACTCATCAGTGACGCTCGAATCAAAAGTTAAAATAAAGTAGTAAAAATTTTCCATCCTTATAAGTATCATTGAGGGGCTTCCTTTTAAGTTTAAGTTTAATAAATATCTATTAGGATTGTTTAAATGGTTATTGATATTTAATAAAGAAAAAAAATCCTGTTGATGGTATTTTTTAATCTGATCAAAAAAATATATAATTCCATGAAGGTTTTAATTAAGTTATTTAATTAAAAAAATATCAAACCAAAGACAATATCTAAATATAAACTGCAAACAAGATATCAAAAAATAAAAAGATGTGGTATGATTGCAAATGAGACAATTCTTCACTAGAGACAAAATGATGTAGAAATTAGCAGCTTTAGGTCACCATACGGCCTTCAACCTGGAGCAAACCCATTCCACATAGTCAGCTCTATACAAGGCCCCGAAATGAGAGATTTAAAACAAAATTAAACGATAAAACTAATGAACTGATTTATGTACAAGACAATAAACGAAAACAAATTTGATATACATTAACAAATCTTAATACGTTTTGTAAATGCACATTTTCACAGTGGAACTTCTTTTCTTTTGCGTTATTCATTTTTTGAAAAAATAACATTTACCTTGAAAAAAGTATAGCAAAAATATCGATCTCCAAGGTAAATTAGAAAAGGGCAGGTCCATAAAAACTGTCAAAATCAACCAATGGAACGAGTGGAAAACAAATGTAATATTCCTGATTGGTACAGGAATTTTCCGACGAAAATGATGGGTTAAACCTAGTTATCAGGCTCACAAAACCTACCAAAAAGATCAGATGAAAATTCAGTATGTTTTGCCATATTCATTCTTAATTGCTATACAAAATTATGGGAAAAAAGGTGAACATAATTATTACAATAATTATTGAACTGATGTTCGATTTGGATATGAAAAAATGGACTGTCAAACAACAAATAGCAAAACCAACATCAATAAAATTATACTGATGTTCATATCAACCTACTTTCGAAGGCTACTCTATTTTTCAGCTATCTCAAAATAAATTTCATTGCTCAATAACCTTTATATTTGAAAAATGACAAAATGGAACACAACTAACGGTGGAGTGCCACTTTATATTTCTTACTTCTCTGGTTTTTACCTGAAGTAATGCTTAAAATCTTCTGTCCAACAGTCCTTGTTAAAGTTGGAATACCTTAAAAACATGTACCTCAAATATTCGTCTGACAACTATATTCTATGTCGTGTAATTTCTACCTTTTATTTTTAATACCTTGTATCAAATTCACCAAATGTACATAATTTGGAATTTGTAAAAATTGCAGAAACATATTTATTCTTTAATGTACTTATCAGGATTTTAATTATCACCGATCTGTACAAATTTTAAATTATCTAAATATTTAAACATTTATAATACATAAATATACACAACATTTTTGTTAACGTTTTAGGTTATTCTAACCTCAGATGCAGGAGATTTACACACGCGACAATTTTTCCTGACACAGGCATTACATGGTGTAAACTTCCCAAAATTAAACTGCGACAAGTATCAATTTTTTACCGACACAGTTATTACTTGGTGTAAACTTCCAAAAATTTAACTGCGACAAGTAACACTTTTTTTACCAACACAGCAATCACACTGATGTAAACTTCCCAAAATTAAACTGTAAAGTATTTTGGTGTAGAAAAGAGTTCCCTTCAAATGAGACTGACACATTTATATTGAATTCGTTTTTAATCACACAAGGGAGATCCTGTATCTTAAAGAATTATGTTTATCTTAATTAGGAAATCTTACAATAACTGTCAAAGTTGAATGCCGTACGGTTGCCTATAATTGCTTACAACCACTTCATTTGAACTTTGGTGTATAGTTGTCTCATTGACAATCATAACACATCTCCTTATCTTTGTGTGAAGGGGAAGACCAGTAAGAAATATGCATGAAATATTGCAATGTTTAAGTGTTTTTAGCGGAGAGTGTTTCTCATTCTTTCACATAATGTTTCTTCTCATATGTCTTATTCTATCTATTCTTGACTTACCTCACATATTCATTGAAATTTAAAATCACTGACATCCAATCATATTCTGTCTTCTTAATTGAGTCTATGAATACTTTAAACTTTCCTAAAGGTTCCCAGGAGAATACCATAAAATGCCACTTTCCATCAGCAACATCTGTTTCATACTGAATATCCATTGTATCTGTAGAGTTGCGAAGAAGGACACTCTGCCCTTTGGCTATAAATTGCTGAATATTCGTATTGAAGGTGGGATAAACAGATCCTATGGGTCTATATCCAAATAAAAACAAAGGTTTTAAGGCTCTATGTATGTTTTAACGATGCAGTCTAGACTCTGAGTTATTTATCTTGTACATCTTGATATGTACAAACAACCATGATTCAGGATGTTCGCTACTCTTGTTTTTTCATTTTTTTTTCTGATATTTGGAATCTTCTAGTTTTATCCATGTAGTGCCAATAGAAATTGTGCCCGCTAACCCAATTTCTCTTTTCATAACATCATTACATGTAGCCAATTTTGAACATCTTATAAAATCCTTGTTATTTTTCATAGTCTTTACAAGAAAAAGGTGTCAATGTTAAATACATGAAAAATCTAGAGAAAATCATTACCCACTAAATCTTTAATTGTTTATATCTCATAAACAAGAACAAGGACCTGTAATTTTTTTTCTACTTTTAAAGTTCTGTTTTTTATATACTATCAATTTATAACAGTCTTTTAAAAAACATTTTGGAACAGAGGAGCAAACATCCTCAAAGGTTATAATGTTTTCCTAATGTATTTCCGACCAATGCCGCTAGTGCTAAATTTGCTTTGGTGTTGTAACAGTCCCATCGAAGAGATTATTTTTGATAATCTACACTTAGCGTCTACAAAAAATATGATGCATCGACTGACATTTTTCTGAGGCAATCAAATATCACCAAAGTAAGTTTGAGGCACATAAACTGTTACTTTTTGTTTTTATCAAAATTAGTGTTATATATTTCTATAGTTACATTACATAAATTGAAAACTTTTACGGAATATTTTACTCATGTCATGACTTTTTAAGTAATGGACTACTACTCACAATTCAAGACTTTTTAAAAGCTATTGAAAAAGATTTCGTAGTGTTAAAGTTGAAGTCAACCCTTCGAAAGTTTTATAAACGCTATCATATATTGGTTGATTGTAATGGACTTAATGTCCTCTTTTCCATGATTGTGACATCACCAAATGAGATTTATTACCGATTATGGAAGTATAAAAAGAGCAATTATTTGGCCAATAAAATTTCAAAACTAGTAATTGTTATGCATGTCTTTCAAAAGTATGCCAATTTTATAGAAATAGTGAACTGGTTGATATAATCTTGTAAAATTAGTACCGATTGGTAAATTCTGATTTCACTTTGACGTCATAATCATATTGAAATTAATATGCTTAACCTAAAATGGCTATTATACGCATAATTTTTCTTCTTCTTCAAACAATGATACAAGCCATGGCCTAATCGAACATTGCCTTACCCATAGAAATAAATTTTACACACATTAACATCTTTGTAAAATACATTTCATAGCAAAATATTCTTTGTATTTAGCTTTTAGCGATAAATTTTGTCAAAATAAGATTCAAAACATCGCTGATTTATTATTAGTTTGCAAAGCCAATAATTCAACTTATTTGAATTCGTATTCATGTTAACTTCAGTACGACCCTTAACTGAGCATGTGCTTAGAATATTTAGTTATAAAAAAAGAATGTCACCATTGAAAAGTGAAACAAGGCAGCTACCGTGAGTAATCTTTCCAGTGACTGATTCTGTCAACAAAAACATCTTTCTTATATAGGTAAAACGATGATTTTTATATTTTTATTCTATGACATGAAATCGAACAGACATGAACATGCAACATGTAGCACAATATCAGCCTACCCTCGAGCTACAGGAGAACATCAGATCACCGAAGAGTTTTCCCACCGAATGGTCACTTTTTCTTCGACTTATGTTCTTTTATTATGCTTTTGTTATTTTCTTCTCATTGTTACGGAACCATTTCACTAAGAAAAATTGCAATTAGTTAAACTATCCTTTTACCAGCACTAGTATCAGAAATCAAGAATTTACCTTTTGTTTCGTTAGAAATTGGTTGTCTTCGAAAGCATTGGTATAACATTTCAGTGCCTATGAAACTTCATTGTAAAGATATATTTATCAGCTACATCATGAACATGATGTACAGAAAGGAACTTTACAATCAATACAGATAATTACAATATGGAAATCACAATTCTATGTAAATATAGTAAGACTATCAAAACAAAACAAACAAAAAACAAGTTATCCAAAAATATGCATTTGTTGAATTTTTGGCGAAACTCAAGGACAAAGATTTAAACACCAAAGGTCAATGGAAATTTGACAGTTCAACTGAACTAAACTTCAAGGAAAATAATGTTTACTGGATAAGTCGAAGAATAAACTGATATCATACGTTCTTAACATATTGTTTGAAAAGAATTATATTTTCTTTTAAATTATGACTACTTTATTAATTGTAATTACTTTATTGGACATTTTAAATAGAATTAAAGTCACGTTTTTGAATTTGCATTTATAATGTTACTCACGGCTACATTGAAATAAAGAGCATTATAACAAATTCTGTTACTTTGCTTTTTGTTTTTTCTGTTAAAGAACACCGTATCCCGTTTCTTCCATTCAATTGCTTCTATGTAACTTTCACATGTAATTAAATATATCTAAACAAATGAATGGGTCGACATTGGTATGTTTTACATTTAAATTATACCAACAGCATTGAGTACAATGGCACTTATCTCAACTGGAAAATGTTTAAGTTGGAAATCCGTGAACGTTTATTTCAAGATATACAATATAAGTTTTTTAATTGGGTATCATTATCACTCGAATGCCTGCATAATACAAAAACATTTACCCCATTAAAAGTGATTTAGTGAGGTTTCACTATACATTAACCGAATCTATTCTTGGTTTTGGCAAAGGTTCTAAATTATATCTGTTTGCCAGGAGATACACACAATTTAAACTTTGGAATAACAAAAGGCAATGGTGTACACTTACATTTTCTCTAATGATACCAAAACAGGATTTTCTCCTGCACTTGCTAGAACTCTAATCCAAAACATGATCGTCATACTATTATTTGTGTGAGACACAATAGGATTTCTCAAATAGGCCGGCATTCCATTCATATATCTGTCCATGAAGATGTCAAAATTCTCATCAATACCTTGGAAAAACAACAACAAAAATATATTTGCTCAGTACAGTGATACTGCAGTTAATGTCTATACTTGAATCAGACATTTTCACATCTTTGTAAAAAGTTAAGGACATTACATTTACGTTGTATTCTCAATACAAGTGTTGCCTTTAACAATGTTGCTTAGTCAATATTATCCAAAGATGCTTATTTTTTTAAAAAGAAATAACATATTACTTTGTAACAAGTTATAAGCCTTATATATTTGATGAGTTTTTTTTTCGTGCATTTTATACAAAGGTACTTGTCAATTTGAGTTGTCTAAATAAATAGATATTTTCAGAAATTGAAAACATGGATTTAAGATTTGTTTAACGCAAATTTCATATCAGATCCAAGAAAAATGTGAAAAGCATTTCATGAAGCAATCACTACGAAACAGTATTATTTGGCTTTTCTGGTATCAAACCAATGTTGCAGTTGGTACTGATCATCAGTTTAAAAACTAACAACTGTATCTATCATTAAGAAAGCTATTTAAAAATATACATGGCATCCACATATTCACAGATGGCGGTCTCAATATCACATAGAAGGCCGACATCATTCACGAACACTGAATATTGAACTTAATTGGCACTCAACGGATTTTCCACATGAACTGTACAATAGTACACGTATGCTAGTTGCTGTGTTGAACAGGTATTGCAATATGATCTCTGTAAGATAATTCTATTTTAAAGCTAAAAGTTAAGGGCCGCCAGTGTTTGTTGAAAGCAATACTCAGTATACAAGGATACAAGGATACATAGTAACAATTAAAATGAACCACCATCTTAACATTATTTTGCCTCCTTGAAAGACTTTTGACAATGTGCTGTAAAAAACAAATGGTATTCTGAGGGTTGCAGTGTAACACCAAGCTCAAAATAACCCTGTTTTCTGCTAAGCTTTGAAAAGATACTTTTGACTATTGATATTAAAACTTAAAAAAGCATTGTGCTTAAGTAGATGACAGATTCTCAATACAAGCAGCGCCAGGAATGTTATGCCCGTTCCAAGCTGTTGTTATATAGAAATATTATAGGGTGTTTGAATAATATTGAAGGGATATAAACCACATGTTTATTAAGATTGTGGATGATGGCGGGATGTAGATGAAACAAAAATTGTTAAAGTGCACAAGCTCCTGAAACTAAATATATCTATCTATCTATCAATTTTAATAAGCTTAAACTTTAACGACATTTTATTTAGGTTGAAGGCGAAACACAGTAATTATAGAGTAATATGCGTTTCCCTCTTTTACAAACTGCAGTCATTTTAATTAACCACAAACCATAAGGACCAGGCCAGTAAAAATGTTGTCGGCCCATACACATTTACCAAAAAACAAAAGCATCATGAGCCTATTTTAAGCATATATTCATAAAATTTATGAAAGACGTAATTTATCTTTAACACCATAAAATAAATATTAAACACTAAAACCCTTTTTCTGAATAATTTGTTATAAATTGTGCAGTGTGTTGATTCCAATCTATTGTAATCATATCAAAGTAAATTATTGATACAAGAATAACATTGTAATACATGAACATACTTGAATAAGTGCACATTTTTTACGCTAAATTGATGAAATAACGGATAGATAGACAGGTAGATTTAAGTAAACGGTAAACTATATTATGTCAGTCGTTGACGGCCGTTTTAAGCTGCAAACAATATCGCTTTAAATCGTTTAAAAACAAATTTTCCGTAAATAGCACCCCTGCTATACATGGTTGAAATTCCCTAATAAAATAGCTAACAATTTATTAAATTTGATATGCTATTTGCAAACATGCATTCCAAAAAATGCAGAAACTTACTTTACGAAAAAAAACAGAAAATGGATCCGAAACACTAATTAGATCTTAAATAAGAAACACTATTTCTTTTATCTATAGGTGGGTTTTTTCGTATTGTAAGTTTCTGCATTTTTTGAAATTCATTTAACATATAATTACGATATTTTATATTTTGAATGTCATTCCTTAAAACCTGAAATTTTTAACGCTGACAATTCTTGAACAATATTTTTGACATACATACATAAAGTTGACATACATTAAACTCGTTGTAATGTCAAAATCGTAACATTTATTAACGAACCAGGAGATGGGTAAAACAAAATCTGACAACCAATTATCTTACAATAATTCATTACACAAAAAATGATAGCCTTCCTGCTTAAGGTTTCTGATAAATTTGTTAACAACAAAATCGTAACGTTGAGCATTTAACCTTGGAAATGAGACCAAGGCTATGAAATATACACAAATAGTAATTGTATATGAAATATAAAGTTTACCTATTACTTATAGTATCTGAGAAATTGACATAACCATAACATTCATAAACTGAGGCATGAAATCAGGTCAAAATAGGTGAACTTTGGTAAACATGTATTCCTTGTAATGATTATATATACAAAATATAAGTGATTGAAAGCAAACGTGTGATAAAAATCCTTTTTCGGGTCATTGAACCATGGTATTAAGTTACAGGCCAACTTACATTTGAGCAGTCGAACTTTTCAGATCATAAGGCATTAATGTAAACAAAACATAAATTATCCAACTCACATATGAAATAGGAAGTTTTTTTCTAAAAAGGATAATGCTGTTGGCATTGCTATCGCAGCAGCCGTACTAGCAGCCATGCATCTACTACACTTAAGCATTAAAAGAGGAAAATATATAACAAGTCGTCAAATATATCCGGCTTTTTATCTAGACACGCTAGATACGCGTTCCGTCTGTACAATACTCATTAGTTTGAAAACAGTCTTTGTATTCGGAAGACCTCCGCTAGCATTAGTAAAGACTTAGTGATTGTAAAATGTGTTTATAGATACCAGCTTTACATTGTCTTGTTTGCTGGTAATGTACCTTCGAAAATGTCAAATATAATTTCAGCATAGATACCAGGTTAAACATTTTGTACGCCAGACTCGAAATTAAAAAGACCAAATAAAGTACGAAGTTGAAGAGCATTTAGGACCAAAAATTCCGAAATAAAGCTAAGATAATCTCTTTTCCTGGTTAGAAAATCCTTGGTATAAATATAAAACCCTTTATAGTATACGCCGGCGCCTTATAAGAATATAGATAATTTCGCATTCTGCTACATTCATTGTAGTCCCGACAAAATAAACTACCGGTTTATTCATTTTCACCTCAATTTCTGTTTTTAAAGTAAAATGGTTGTGCTTCTGTTGAATTGAAATAAACCTTACAATAAATATGAAACAAAACATCTTTAAGACGATTTATTTCAATATTTTAAGTTTAAAAAAAAAGATAAGGACGACTATCTTTAATGCATTGATACAAACAGTAGTTTTAAATAACGATGTATGCGATTTTTATATGTTTAAATAGAAAAGTCTAAGGCTGCATCGCCATTGTATATCTTGTGATCAGTATAAGCAATTACCATGATTACAATATAATAAATGTACTTAATATCTCATTTTGACATTAAACGATGGTTTTCCTGATAGATTTTATTGTGACTAGCCAATGGAAGTTGTTATAACTGTACTTGTAAAGAACCTTAAGGTAACTAACCATATCAAATTTTCAAGATAAGAATTTCAACTCATTTTGCATTTGTACTTTTAGTAGAAAAGTTACTGTTTTAACAATAGAAATGAGAAACTAGTTTCAAAGATATCAAAAATTGAATTGATGACAATTGCGACGTTAAGAACATATTCGACATATTTGGTTTTAGTTGGTAACGCATCTTCATTGATTTTCTACATACTTTCAAATGACGCATTTAAACCTATGTCCTCTTACATGTAAGTACTGGGTACTTTATTGTTAACGGGATTGATACAACATGACAATTCTACATATTCATCAAATTCTCAAAGAAGAAAAGCATATTGATTCATAAACTCATATCCATCATGATGTCACTATTATAGCCAAAGAGATAAATATAGCACATAAACTCATCTTGTATTTACGTTTTGTTACAGCAAACATCAAAGGCTAAAAATAGATATTCAAAATCATGATAATGAAATTATGCAAATTGTCTTCAACGGTTTATGCATATGCCAACATTAGTCCGAAAATGAACATTTTTCTTTGAAGATAGAAAAGAGAAATTTACCCGAAACGACAAGTTACATCATCTTGAAGTAAACAAAATTTACACACCTTTGCATCCATTATCTGTAAGTAAGTTTCCCTGTTCACAATAACATATATACTTTTCTTTATTAGATATACATTTAGCTGTAGCATGACAAGGATTACAGGAACATGGGTCAGTGTATATAGAACAGGTAGTACCAGAATAACCTAAAAATAAAGACAGCAGGACAAGGATTACTGGAACATGGGTCAGTGTACATAAAACAGGTAGTTCCAGAATAACCTAAAAATAAAGACAGCAGGACAAGGGTTACTGGAACATGGATCAGTGTACATAGAATAGGTACTACCAGAATAACCTACAAATACAAACAGCAGGACAAGGAATACTGGAACATGGATCACTGTACATAGAACAGGTATTACCAGAATCACCTACAAATACAAACAGCAGGACAGGAATTACTGGAACATGGATCAATGTACATAGAACAGGTACTTCCAGAATAACATACAAATACAAACAGCAGGACAAGGAATACTGGAACATGGGTCACTGTACATAGAACAGGTACTACCAGAATCACCTACAAATACAAACATCAGGACAGGAATTACTGGAACATGGATCAGTGTACATAGAACAGGTACTACCAGAATCACCTACAAATACAAACAGCAGGACAGGAATTACTGGAGAGTATTATGTCTTTATTGTATCTTGACATTTATGACTTAGTTCATTAAAGGTACGAAAGCGAAGGCGTAGTATTACCATATGAAATTTTTGTAAATTTGCGTTATTTCACAAATCTTTTTGCCGACGATAATTCGAACCGTGTTAGACTATTGTAATGAATGTTTTACTACTACACCTATAACTTATTTTGCAAATATTTTGGGTTATTTCGCAAAATATTTTGCGTTATTTCGCCAACATTTTGCGTTATTTGAAAAAAATACTATTGCTTCCTGTTTGTACCCTACTTTTGCATTCGGTAAACGTGGTAAACAGTAAGTTAAAAATTATCCACCATAGACCAAACAACGTGAATGTTAGCAGCTACAAGTCACCGAACGGCTTTCAAAAATAAGCAAACCTTAAACTGCATAGCAAGCTTAAATAGGCCAAACATAACGCGAAAACCAACGGCAAGATTTAACAAAACATCAAACAAATATGATATACTACAACAAAAGAACTTGAACATTGTACTGAAACTTGTCTATTTTTGAAGAAACAATGTATTGATATAATTTATATTTTTATCGTTCGCTAGCCTCTTCTTCACCATCACTCTTATACTATCAGAGTGACAACCAAAAGGTTGGACAGAAGGGTCAAACTCAAAACTCTTGCACAACATGTAAACATGATATTTATTTTGTAAAATATGCCAAAGTAACTAAAACTTGTATGACGGAATATTACCAATGAAAAGGTTTGGTGTTTTCTACATGCACTAATACGCAGTATATTGAACTTCTAAGGTTAAGTTTACAATTTAATGATAATTGTATTAATTTGGCTAGATAATAAAATACTCACTGTCACCACATTCACATTCAAATCCGATAGGTTTGGTGACACATTTACCATTATTTTTACACGTGTCTGGATCAGCACAGTGATCTTTGATTAACTGACAGCTAGTTCCAGCATAATCTAAAATAATCAATATCAAGAATTCATCAAAAATCATTATATTATCAATATGCAGAACATTGTATGAATTCATGTCCAGTAAACAGACGTCACATCCGTTGCCTTATTAAAAACAAGTGCATGCTATCTGTACATTTTATCACCCTTGCAACAACTTCTTAAAGGCTGCATAGGTAACATGTTCTTGTTACAAGCTAAATTTCTGCCCCTATCCAACATATCCGTACTTTCTAGTGTCGGTCGCTATAGTTCATTTGCCAATTAATCATTCTGTAAGTTATTACACGCTTTTTACACAAATTGTTTCCCTTTGTCAATTATAGACTGGTTTTATATTGGACAAATGGGCTTTTCGCTTAGGATAAAATTCGAATATCACGGCCCAGGCCATGTGTAAATTTCCAACAAATCTAGGGCTTCCGTGAATTATTTCGATTCTAATAAGACAAATACGGTCATTTAAAAAACTGTAGCGAGGGCGGGAATGCCGTGTGTGTGGTTGTGCTTTTTTACCCCCTATTAGACAAAGCTTAAAATTTCTAATAAATCTATAGCTTGCATGAATTATTTCTTAAATAACTGCTAGAAAAAATGCGTTTAATTCTTTTATTTTTCAACCTAAACATTTCTAATTTAATTTTTTTTTCTCGTAATCTACTGTCAAATCCACAGTTAACATTTCGTTAAAAGCCGCCATGTTGACTTACTGAAATCAGTAAATGTGCAAATAATGCAATAGAACAACACCTACGTCATATAAGAATAAAAAATAACTACTGATATCCAAACTGTTTAGCTTCACAAGCAATTAAATGTAATTAAAAGATTTGTAAAACTTGAAGGCTACACTAATTACGCATAGATAAATTTGATCTTTTTGCTAGCTCTTCGTGTCAATGAAAATGTATGTCCATCCTTAGGGAGACAGCTAAAACTATTCCCAACCATAATCCAGATCAATCGATTGATTTTGCAAAGCCCATATATCTGAAGTATATTTCATTTGTTCTCGTTTCGAATATGCACAAATATCATAGCAGGAAAAGAAAGAAAATGAAGGTCAAGGAGGTGTCTAATGTATTTCTTACTTATGCATGAATGTCTGCAAAGCTGGGAAGATAGTTTACAAGACATTCTTTTATTACAAGTACACTAAACAGCTTCTTCCTCTTTCTGACAGGTTTTCTGTCTTATTAATGATATGCAACACCTATTGTTGCAAGACATAATATTTTTATTGTAGGGCAATTCCTTTCATATTGTTATAGGTACACTAACACCTAAAATCACAAACCATATACATATTTTCATTAGAAGTTAAGTGAGTTCTTTAGCAGATGTTTTACTGGTACTTTAGATCAAAACATTTACCGTCATTACAGTAACACTGAACAGTTCATTCCACATCCTGACATGTTCCTTTGCTTAAACACTACACAATACTTATCATCATTATTGTTTACTTGTATACTACACAACACTTACTGGCATTACAGTTACACTGAACAGTTCTTCCCACATCCTGACAACTAACCTGACTTGTACATTATATAAGACTTACCGTCATTACAGTTACACTTTTGGGTTCCTCCTACATCCTGACAGGTTCGCTCACTTGTACACTACACAACCCTTAGGTCATTTGTTAAACTGAGCAGTTTCTTCTAAATCCTGACAGGTTACCACATTTGTACATTGCATAACACTTACTATTATTACAGTTACACTGAGCAGTTCCTCCCACATCCTGACAAGTTCCCTCACTTGTACACTACATAACACCTACTGCCATTACAGTAACACTGAGCAGTTCCTTCCACATCCTAACAGGTTCCCTCGCTTGAACACTACACAACACTTACCATCATTATTGTTATACTCAACATCTTGACAGAATCTCTCACTTGTACATTGCCTAACACTTACTGTCATCAAAGTTACACTGAGCAGTCCTTCCACATCCTGAAATGTTCTTTCATTTGTACGCTATTTAAATTTACCATCATTACAGAAAACTGAGCAGTTTCTACCACATCCCGACAGGTTCTCTCACTTCGACACTCACAATCATTATTGTTACACTCAACATCTTGACAGAATCTCTCACTTGTACATTGCCTAACACTTACTGTCATTAAAGCTACACTGAGCAGTCCTTCCACATCCTGAAAGGTTCTATCATTTGTACGCTATTTACTAACTGTCATTACAGTTTCACCGAGGCGTTCCTTCCACATCCTGACATGTACTTCACTTTTACACTACACAACGCTTACCGTCATTACAGTTACATTGAGCCGTTCCTCCCACATCCTGACAGGTCCCCTTCATTGTACAGGGATTGATAATACTACAGACTTCTGGGAAATTGTTACATGTTCCTCCTGTTGTACCACCTTGACATCTGTAATTGAATCATTTTTGTAAAAATGTATAAATAAGATTTTAAATGTATTGGTTAGATGGTGACAATAGTTGTATAATTTAATAATAGTTTTTGCATTTCTTACATTTTTCTTACATTAATATGAGTTGTTGGTATCTAATTCAACAAGATAACTACACCACAGCAATATATCCCCCATCAATAACTATGGAATTGAATTCTGAAAAGCATACTCGCTGTACCACTGCCACACAGTATTGAATTATTTAAAATTCATAGATTGACGTTATAAAAGTGAACAATTTATCACATTTAACAGATTTCTAACACTACTTGTTTATCGGTCACAATATCTTATGGAAAGCATAGTACATGTAGCATATAGTATATCAAATTTATGACAAAGTTAAAAATACACGCACATACTATTTATGGCTCATCTTAGACTGATATAATCACTAACTTTAACGTGTAGAGTTAGCAAACGTTTCAATAATGACTGAGGGGATTGGTTCAAATAATCTCCAATAAAATAAGACATACCAATGCTTCGTCGATGCGTGACCAAAACCGAATGCAAAATAACAGCGCTTTGTACAGTTGTTTGCCGTCTTAAAGTATCAAAGAAACCTTCAACTTAGAGCATAACTTTTATCTAGGTGCAAGATCAATACGGCACCTAGCACCAGTTTTGGTCGGGACTTTTGCAAGGAAGGTGTCGAGTATGCAACAGTTCTAAAATCGAAATTTGGGAAGAGTATAGTCAACATAATTCGACAAATGGTCTCAACAAAGGTATGTTTGCAAAGTATCATTCTGTGTTATAAAGGTTATAAAACTCCCCTAGGAATTGTCAAATCATAATGACAGTACTGTTACGTACAGATGAAGACAAGTTTTAGGATGAATGGTCTTATAGGAGTTTCATGTATAAATGTAGCTGCAAGTGCTTGCAATGACAGTTAAAAATATGCTGAATGAAAATTTCTGACCAGACTAAGTGGTATTAATTTGTATTTCATAAATTTTCTATTTCTGGTTGCAGTAGTATTTTTGTTTGAAAGCAGAAGGGATGATGCAACTCTTACCTAAAAGAGGATCGTAACTATTCCCTATCATTTTATTTGATATTCTCAACAACTAAAAAACATACTGTTATGGCAAATAAAAAAAAAAAAATTTTATACTGAAAATATCAGTTCGCCCTAGCGGGCTCGCTTGATGTTCTTACTGATAAAGTGAAAAGCCAAAAAAAGCTATGATTCCTCGTTTAACCTTTTGGTGCTTTATTTCATCTAAGAGGAATTACGGCAGCTGGAAGTTTGTGACGTCGCAATGCCCAACTACGACTTCATTCGACATATGACATCACGTCTGATGACATTTCATTGGAGCCCATTAAATGAATATTACACTGTATAATCTTCGATGTTTAACTGAAAGAGATAGTATTGAACATGGGCTTGCATATATTGAAGAAAACAACAATAGGTGTCCCTCCGGCAGGAGGAGGGTTAATGTATTGTCAGCATAATTCAATAGGTGAATATAGTTGCTTAAACCCTCTTGCTGCCGGAGGAACACAAATGTTTATATTTTTAATTGATGCAAGAATATGTTCATTACTGTATCATGTGTTTCTCTTTTAAAGAAAATAAAATGTCGTATATCATAAGTTGCAACGTAATTGGGGGCGTGACATCATATATCTAATGATGTTATAGTTGGATGTGTGACGTCATAGACGCCTAGCTGTAGTATTTGCTCACAAATGAAATTATATCATATTAAATTAGCGGCAGCAAAAGTTTTCGATATGATTAGACACAATGAAGATACTCATTTAAATCTGCATCCAACACTTTAACGCAAAATTAAAAGGAAGGGAAAACTGTGAACTAGAAAAAAACATGAAAGAGACTAGAAGAAACAAACCTGCAAAAATACTCATCTGTAAGATTAAAACAAACTCCTTCATTGGCACATGGTGATGGAGCACAGTACTCCATTGGAGTTTCACATCTCTTTCCAGTCCAGCCCTCCCTACAACTACACTGAAAGTCAGCTACCATGTCTGTACATGTACCTCCATGTTTACAAGGGTATTGTTGTAGACATTCATCTATTTCTTCCTAGTATGTAGTAGAGAAAATCTTACATTCAAGAATAGATAGAATACTATTTGAGATGTGCATTTCTAGTACAAGGACAAATATTTATGGTTTTAAGTAGCAAAAAGTAAAATAACAAAACTACTGAACTCCAAGGAAAATTCAAAACGAAAAATCGATTAGCAAATGGCAAAATCAAAAGCTCAAACACATCAAACAAATAGAAAACAACTGTTATACTCCTGACTTAGTACAGGCATTTCCGTGTGTAGAAAAATGGTGGATTAAATCTGGTTTTATAGCTAGCTAAACCTCTCACTGTATAACAGTCGCATATAATTCCATTATATTGAGAACGAGCAAAGAGGTACAGACAATTTCACCAGATTTTTTTTTCACTCACGAGGGGAAGTTTAAAAAGTTTGGTAGCCATTTTTCAAATTTTTGTATTGAACAATATTTTGGGGTCATCAACCAGACTTTGCTTCGCTTGAATAGATCGCAAATGTATATTTTCCTTCAAGGTTTCGAAAGTCTGGTATTCCTCTTTTAATATTAATGCATCACAAAAAGAAATAATGCATTAGAGCTCGGAAAGTGTACCAATTTATAATAAAATAAAATTCCGCAAAATTTCATGAATGATCTTGGCGCATTAATAATTAACGTCATGGGAATACATGGTGTCTTGAGAATGAAAGCTCTCAAACTGAAGTTTATTTCGTTACATGCATGATTTCAATTCGAATAATATCTCTTAAAAAGAAATTTGTGAGGAAGGTATTGCTTCATTTCGATTTTTCTGCATTATTCGGATAGTTATGGATTTCAACCAGTCAGCAATATGGCGGCTCACTCCTTGGTTACAACATGTCAACTGTGGATTTGACGGTAAGTAGATGCCAATGAAAATAATTTTTTTATTAAAAATTGCAAATCTTTGGGTTAAGAATTATAAGGATTATAAGAAAAACATTTTCTAGAGGTAATTGATGTTTAAACTGGGTTGCCTACTCACAAACATTACATAAAAGTTCTTCATTTATTTAGTTTGTGAGTTAATCGCCCCAGTTTAAACATCAATTACCTCTAGGAAAAATGTGTTTAAACCTTTTATAGTACCCATGTAATTTGTAAATCAACACATTTTGTTGTCAAATCCCAATCCTAGATTCTCTAAGTATTAGGAAATCTATATTTGGTGTTTGAAATAATTGTAAGGTTTAAATGTCATCCTTGCAGGGTTCGTCTGACCTTGTCCACAATTCATTGGTTCATTGGTCAAAACTTAGTTTTCCTTGTAAGGGTTATATCTCAGACACTACATTCAATAGATCAACCGACTTTGATATATATCCGGTTCATTTGATCTTGATCTCATGTGCCTGATTTTTTGGTCAACGTTACGTTTTTTGTGATTATGTCTGATTTTAAGATAGTATTCGAAATATGTCCACTATATATATGTCGTCTAACTTTTACCTCATTACATGGTTTACATTTCATTTTTAAGTTTATGTGGTAAGGACCGTTTTTCATAGATATAGGAAGATGTGGTATGAGTGCCAATAAGACAACTCTCCATCCAAGTTACAATTTATAAAAGTAAACCATTATAGGTCAAGGTACGGCCTTTAACACGGAGCATTGGCTCACACCGAACAGCAAGCTATAAAGGGCCCCAAAAAATTACTAGTGTAAAACCATTCAAACGGAAAAACTAACGGTCTAATCTATATAAAAACGAGAATCGAGAAACTCGTATGAACTACATAAACAGACGACAACTACTGTAATCAGATTCCTGACTTAGGACAGGTGCAAACATTTGCAGCGGGATTAAACGTTTTAATGGTACCAAACCTTCTCCCTTTTCTGAAACAATAGTATAACATCACAATGTAGAAAAACACACTATAAAATATCAATTGGAAGGCTTAACTCAATCAAAAAACGTAAATTAACACACAATGAATGAATAAATTTGACCTGTGACACCTGAATGCAAATACACAGTTAATAAAAAATTACAAGGGATAAATAATTAAAGTCAAAAGTAAATAAACAGGTTTAAACAAAGTTAAAGTATGATATCACTGTGAAATTTCAAATAATTTATAGAAAATCATCACTTTTGAAGAAACCTGCGTCATATTATACACAGGTAAATGAAAATAATTTTGTTGTTAAGTATACTTCTTCTTCTGTGTGTATAAAATCATAGTCTGTAAACAACTACACTATATGTAAGAATTGATTGATGTGTGTACACGTCTGTCTTGCATTGTTTACCTAGCTTACTCTCATGTGCATGATTCGAATGTCATCGGTACGTTTTGGTGATAAGGTCGTTTTCTCATATACTGTAAGGAATATGTCAACTACATTGATCTATGGATTGATTGCAATTCGACATGTTCTACATGTCAGCTGCCAATAATCTTCTGTCCTTGACCGCATTGTCATGGATTAATGGTAACGTTAAGTGTATGTGTATATGTAGTAGAACCTTATCTTAAAGTGTTGAAAAAAAAAAAATTAAACATGTTAAATAAAAGAAGGCGAGACATTTCAGCGTATCCACTCTTTCCTTATATAAAAAGATATATAAGAATATAAATCAATCACATAACATCCTCATGATTTTTCAAAAGAAACAATTTTATTAGATATAGTTCAATATTGTTGCTTTTACCCTTGTCTTTAACTGTCTGCTCTTTATGAAAGGATTGTGTTAAAAGGGAACTAGATACAGTATTTTTTCTTTCATCTTGACGTATAATTTATGTAATTGATAATGAATCGAATAACATCATCGTGTCAACTACGAATAGTCATAAAATTGTCAAAATTGAAATATTAGACCTAAAAAGGCTTACTATTAGATCATACAGCTCTTGTATGGTGTAAACTTCCCAATTAAACGTGTAAGGTGTAATGGCAAATGATGTATGGTGTAAAGGTGAATGGTGTATGGTATTATTATCTTTTATGTATTGTGCAGTGGTGTAAAGTGTATAGTGTAGATTGAATGGTGTATCGTGTATTCGGGAATTGTTTGAATGAATGGTGTGGTGTATTAGGTTGAATGGAATTATAGATCGTTTCTTTTCAGTTTTACGATTCATAAACGCAGAAAACGTCGATACAAGAGGAACGAAATGTTATCGATTCGGAAAAAAATATTGTTTCACATTACGAGTTTCCATTTATTGTTGATAAAATCAAAATCGATTTTGATAGAACAGAAACGGAATTGTTTACCATTTGTTTTAAGAGAAATTATATTGTTCTCAACCAATCAACCCAATACCTCGACTGATCGGACCAATAGGTATGTGTTAGTCCTGGTCGACAGTGTCATAATACTCCGTTATTTAATAATCTGATGCATATACATTATAATTATGAACTGTAGCAATACTTTTGTTTTCTTTCAGTTTTGATGAAATTTAAGGATAACTTTAAGTCAAATTGTCTGTTAAATATTTTTAATCTTGTAATAAAATATTTCCAGCCTTCAAAATATGTTGCTAAACAAAATTGGCAAATTGCATGCTTAATAGACTATGTGTTTTACTTTTATATATGTTTTATTTCTAGAACAGATATTCAATTAAGGAACTACTTTGAATATTTTCTCAAACAGACTATTCTAGGGTAATAAGATTATTATTTTGTATGCCGATCTATGTCTGTCAATTATTTTCAATCAGAAAATGTAGAGTCTTCATTATGTGTAAACGTACTTTACCGCATTGTGACATTGATGAATAGTCAACATAGAGCACGTGGAGAACGTGACAATAAGTGAATTAATAGAGACATGATTTATTTTGTTTCCCATGCGTTCCCATTTGTTATTTCAACTTTTCCTTAACAGTTGTTAAATGATTAATCGTACTACATTTGTTCTTTAAGAATAAGTTATCACTATTAACCTTCCAGTGCACGATTGTTTACATTCTTTCATTACGATTTCCCCCTCACACTTGCGCTGTGCGATGGCCGGAGATTCGTAGTTAAGGTCACTGCATACGGAAAAATGTCGGCGAATTAGTGCACGAGAAGACAACAATTCAATAGCTGTACATTTATGAAGACTTTGATAATATAAAAGATTTTCTTTTACAAGAAAGTTCACGTACACTTGTTTTATAGTAAAACTTAGCCATTCATGTATAAAGTATAAAGTTTCATATGACTTTAAAGACTTTTCGTAGAATTTATATTTTACGATAATACGAATTACTGAAGGTTGTTGAAATGAATCATCAGTTATGAAATTTGTATCGATGAGTGAAACTCTTTTCAACTGACTGTTATATATAGTTTGTTCTTTTGTTGTGCTGTAACACCGCTGTCCTAGGTTAGGAGGAGGGTGTAGTGCTAACAAACATCTTAACCCCACCACATTCTTTACGTGCCAGTCCCTAGTCAGGAGCCTGTAGTTCAGTGGTTGTCGTTGGTTCTTGTCTGTAATATTTATTTTTCGTAAATTGTTTTGTTATAAATTATAGGGCGTTAGTTTTCGCAATTGTTTTATATTTTTCATGTCAATGCCTTTAATACCCGTCTATACGAAAGGGTTTTTTCTCATTGTTGAAGGCCCCACCGTTGCCTATTATTGCTTACATCCACTTTGTTAGAACTTAGGTGGATAGTTGTGTCATTGGCAATCATATCACATCTCCTTATTTTTATATTTAAAAATAATAAGTTAATTTATGCTATTTCATAGAAACTTACGTAGCAACTTTTACCAGTGTAACCTGCTTTACATATGCATTGATAATCATTCAACATATATTTACAACGGTTTGTATTAGGATCTACATTTGAACCTGTACACATTCCAACACAGTTATCTATATTGTTTTTACAATTAATCCCTGAAATAAAGGAAATCATAGAAACGAAAAAAACATTTTTATACATGTTTTCTTTTTCATATAATATCACAATGTACCACACATATCGTCATGAAATAAACATCACACAAAGAAAAATCAGACATGCTTTAGTTACTATATGACTCGATGCTTATTTTACAGTGTCTTTTAAAACTAAGTTTGCAACATGTATTTCCTGTTTTAATGATAAATTTCACAAAATGTATGTCAACGAATGTGAGACAATTATTCAATAACATAAAAATACCAAAAGTAAAGATCTTTTTTAACTGCAAAACAAGTTCTGTGCAGTAGAAGACTACCAAAAATCGGTGACTACATAAGAGGATCGAAACCAAAGGGATATTCAAACTCATAAGTCATAAAGTTATAACTCATAATAGTTTGGTGAATTTGATTCATGGATATTTTACTAACTATCAATACCATAAGACTATCGTATTTCCTTTCTATTCAAATCAAATTAAAACAGTCAGCCAGGCAGAAAATCCATGAATTGTCCTTTGAAACTCCGAATTTATTATTCCGGAATACATTAGGGATTTTTTGCCAAGAAAGCTGTCAACTGATGTTGTGCGCTGAAAGCATATGCCGAAAACGACCCCCTTGAAAATTTTATATTTCTATGAAAGATAATTGGAATAATAGTCCTGTCGTGTATAATCTTTAACTTCGGTTATAAAAAAAATAAAGTTACAAAAAAATTGAGGTTACATATGCCACATAATTTAATTGGTGCGATAAACTTTCATTTTCAGGAACGGCTATTTTTCGCTTCGATTTGTTTGACAAATTGTGTGTTCGGAATGAAATGACACACAACGGGTTAACCTGGTGAAAATAGATATTCATTGTGAATTAATTTACGTTTTTTGATTGAGTTAAGCCTTCCAATTGATATTTTATAGTGTGTCTTTCTATGTTGTGATGTTATACTATTATTTCAGAAAAAGGAGAAGGTTTGGTACCATTTAAACGTTTAATCCCGCTGCAAATTTTTGCACCTGTCCTAAGTCAGGAATCTGATGTACAGTAGTTGTCGTCTGTTTATGTAGTTCATACGTGTTTCTCGTTTCTCGTTTTTATATAGATTATACCGTTTGTTTTCCCGTTTGAATGGTTTTACACTAGTAATTTTTGGGGCCCTTTATAGCTTGCTGTTCGATGTGAGCCAATGCTCCGTGTTAAAGGCCGTACCTTGACCTATAATGGTTTACTTTTATAAATTGTTACTTGGATGGAGAGTTGTCTCATTGGCACTCATACCACATCTTCCTATATCTATGACTAGGTTATTTTGGTACAATCAGACACAGAGAATAGCCACAGTATTGTCACATGACGTTACCAGGTAATGTAAATGCATCAGCGGCCTTTCCGCCTACATTCAAAATGCTTTAATGTCACACACACAAAATCTCCTCCTTATTTTTATCAATACGACAAAAAAGTGGACCGTAAAAAATTAATACTGACTTTTTAAGTCAGTTATAGTCCATTTTGAGGCAGAACAGTTTTCATCAAAGGAAACAATTATAATTGTGTTGCCTTGGATGAGCCTCATTAAATGGAAAATAATCTAAAAACCAAGCAGGCAATCAATTCATTTAATCGAACCTCACGCGCTTCATTGATACGTTACTTGCAATACAGAGCTAAAACGTTGCACAAAATTAAAACTAGTTGCGTATAGAAAATATTGACTTGCAATACAGGACGACCAACAAGCTATCATGGAAACTGAAGAACATACTCCATGTATTATAAAAATAAAAAGAGGTGTTATGATTGCCAATGAGACAATTCTCCACAAGAGACCAAATGACACAGAAATTAACAAGACAGGTCACCGTACATCTTTCAACAATGAGCAAACCCCATACCGCATAGTCAGCTATAAATGGCGCCGAAATGACAAATGTTAAACAATTCAAACGAGAAAAACTAACAGCCTGATTGATGTACAAAATAATGAACGAAAACAAATATGATATACAATAACAAACGACAACCACTGAATTACAGGCTCCTAACTTGGGACAGGCACATACAGAATGTGGCGGGGTTAAACTAGTTTGAAGTCGCACCAAACCATCCCCTTACTTGGGACAGTGGTGTAACAGTACAACATAAGAGCAAACTATAAAAATCAGTTGAAAAGGTCTAAACTCATCAGATCGATACAAAGCAGAAAAACATCTAACAAAAACACAGAATGGACGTGGCAGGGTACTTATACATCCCCACAACAGAAAGACACGAAGAAGAGATCTGAGAGTACTCGCAGTTACTGATAGCTATTTCAAAGCCAATAACAGCAAATAAAACAAATCATGCATCTAGGACTAAATATGAATACTAGACACTATTTGAGTGAACTAAACACTACTGAATTGTTAAAGGACGATTCATAGTCTCCACTTGTTCATTTTCTAAAATCAAATTATAAGGAGAATAGAATCACAATTGCAAAAATATTCTCACATGCTTTCTAATTAAATTCACTAAATTATCTGTTAAACAGCTTCATCATGTTCATGGAAAAGACAGAATTAATTTTAGAACATTTGCGTCACATAGAATAAGTATGCTTAAACAGAAGAGGGAAATCAAAGATAACCAAAACGTATTGCCTTCGCAAACAGATCGAATTTTCAAAGCATACTCAGGAACCTGTGACAGACTTGGTTCGGTTTATTCCACTTTCAAGTGTAATCAAGGCCTATCACTAAAAAGAACAAGTTATCAATGCTTGAGCAATTGCCACAAGTCAAGTATTCAATAAGGTTTTCTATAGAACAGCATTTGACTTTGCGGTGTTGTTTGTACAATCGACATGACATTGCAGAAAAAATATTTACTATATTGTCGTTTATGTCGGTCCCTGATTTCAATTTACTCAGGTGTATTTTTTTAACAACTTAGACGAAATAAATCATAATAAAAATAAAAAAAATGGTTTATGGAATATTTGAATAATGGGACATCCTATACTACAAATGTTTAGTGATAGGAAATAAAGAGATGTGGTGTAACTGCCAACGAGACAACTATCCACCAAAGACCAAATGACGTAAATAATAGCAAATACAGGTCATTGCATGGCCTTCAACATGAGCAAAACAAATACAGCAAAACTATAAAAGGCATGGAAAAATGTAAAATAATTCAAACGAGAAAACTGACGACTTAATCTATGTACAAAACATCAAAAGTCATAACAAATATGATTTATAGCAACAAACGACAACCATCGAATTTGCTCTTTAATTTGGTCAGGTATATAAAGTATGTGACGGGGTTAACTATGTTTGCGGGGGCTTAAGCCTCCCCTAACATGGGACAGTGGCTTAACAGCACAACATTAGCACAACTATACTTATCAGTTGAAGAGGGCTTCAATAAAGACTATTAAAAAGCTAATTTAAAGGCAATAACAACTGATATAAATTATGTATGCAAGACAACATATACAGTTTTAAAGATCAAGAAAAATGCAATAAAATGTAAAATAAAATAGAAAAGCAATTAGTTAGCATACTGTTTTGATTAAAATTCGCATTTTAAGGCAATAACAACTATATTAAGACGTCTTATAAATCTTATAAATATGTAAAGCACGACGATTCGAGACCTTGGTAATGCTATATTTGTCAAATTTTCTGTAATGAATATGGTTTTAAAGATACAGTTAACTACTACTGGCATTTTTTCTTTAATGTTCTTTTTTTAGCCATGTTATTCAAGATCATTGGCAGGCAGGAAAGTTGAAAACATCATTTATGCAGATATATATATATATATATATATATTTTTTTTGTTCTATCCTGGCCGGGATTCGAACTCATGCTACTGAGATATTGTGGCACCAAATCGCCTTGCACTATGCCCGACGCGCTAGACCACTCGACCACCTAGGCTCGACAAAAATCAAGCTTTCGGTGGCCGGGTGTTACCTTTCCTCGTCAGTTTTTATCTAGCGTCGTAACACAGTACATGATATATAAGGCATGAAGATGGAATATTACAGATCAGCTGAATTATCTATCGTAGAGGATCTTACAAATTGATGTAGGATGCTGTCACAGAAATAATTATATTATAAGTACGTCTCAACCAGTGACCACTCTACGACATATTTTATCCATCGGATCACCAGTGATGGTGATACAAAGCTGAAAACACATTCTGTATATATAATTCGTCTAAATAACAGCCCAACAATTTAAGATCTGTAAATTTGCGGAAGCAAAATTTAGTTCTTCACTGGGGGTATATATATTATTCCAAAGATTTTTTAGATCATATCTGGTTGAAATTGGTTCTGTAATTTTAAAATGCTACTATGTTATTGTTGATGATATCAAAAATTGATAAATTGACAGGGGATATTATAATAAAATAGAGCCTAAGATACAAAATGGTCATTCAAACTCGAAAATAAACTGACAACGACATGGCAAAAAAACGAAAATACCAAAAGACAAACAACAGTATGAAAAACACAACATAGAAAACTTAAGACTGAGCAACAAATTCGCAGGTGCTCCAGAAGGGTAAGCAGACCCGGCTACACATGTGGCATCCGTCGTGTTGCTCATGTAAGTACAAATCCAGTGATAAGTCTAATTTGGTAGATCGATAGTAAGCTTTTGCATAATTACCAATGTTCTTTCCTTTATTATGTACAGTTTAAAGATTTGAATCCAACAAGGACAGTATTGATCACATAATATTGTTGTGAAAGCAGAAAAACCACAAAATTGTTTTATATACAAAACATATAATTTAAAATCCATTGCCAATCTCGAGTGTTACTTATGTACTTACATGATTTATAAAAGGGAAATTTTGAAATACAGTGGAGCTGTTTTTTTTTTTACAAACAGGATGACATGTCTGTATATTCTTTTAAATTGGATACCATAAAGTTCAGAAAAAATCCCTCTGAAGAACGATCTATATACAGCAAACTCGTTAAGTCTAATTTTTGAATTCAAAGATTTGATTTTGCAGCCAAATATGGATCGGAAAATATTGTTCAGAGTTATACCCTACCGGTGCCAATCAGTTGTGAATTCTTAAAAACCATAGCAATCTAATACTGAATCTTCCATCATCACTAAAAGTTTTGAAACAATATCAAAACTTTTGAACTTTCCCACGCTCTAAATCACATTTTATCATGCTAAATTGAAACATCGGTTTCGTCTTTTTCCATCTTTTTTATATACTTATGAAAGTATCCTTTTTCGAATAAATAGGAAATCGTAGACACTAATTTTCTGTATACGGTCCCAAAGTCTTAGTATGCGATGATCCACACTCATTCCATCATAAAATACACCAGATATAACAACATAGATATTTAAGATTAAACGATTTTGTGCTATGACCTGTCTTGACATATTTCACATGTCTAAATTCCAGAGGCGGATGATGAAAATATAGCATGAAATGATTACTGTTTGCGATACAGACGCACTCGCTGTTGCTCCTTTTGATGTTCATGCAATTTCTCCAGGTGTACATGTATTGCTCATAATATCTGGAAAAAAGACTAAACCACGAAACAATAACATTGTCCAATGAACCATGAAAATGAAATCAAGGTCAGATAAAACCTACTATTCGGACATGTACTTTTCAATCATTTCATACATCAAATAAAGTTGACCTAATGCTTATACTTTCTAAGATAAGGACTTGACTACGTAAATTTAACCTTGATCATTGATCCATGAAATGTGGTCGAGGTCAGGTAAACCCTACCTGACGGACATGTAGACATTGCAAGGAACCCATATACCAAATATAGTTATCCTCATAATAAGAGAGTATCTCACTTGAACAAAACATTGAAATTGTATTTCAAGCAGTCTCTGAAACATGAAAATGAGGTCAAGGAAAATGTACATATGACAGACGGAAACTTCGTAACATAAGGCATCTGTATACAAGGTACGAATCATCCAGGTAACTTTCTAAAAAATATAAAGCTTCATACAAATAGTTAACACCGTCGCCAGATAGTAGTCTCTGTGTCTCGCATTCTGCAACTTTCGTCGCAGTTGAGTCGAAAAATCATAAACTTGATACTAGATACCCTAATGATCATTTAAACCAAGTCTGGTTTGAAATTGATTCAGTAGTTTCAGGAGAAGATCTTTGAACAAGTTGATGATGGAAGACATTAATGCACAGGTGAGCTGAAACTTTACAAGCCACTGAATAAAACATAAAACATAAGAATCTCATATTCTCCGTCAAATTCATGGAAGCTAATGCAACAGCTCACGAGTGGAACCAGAAAAATCTTAGAGGGTCACCTAAGGTTCTGAAGAGCAGTATAAATGCATTCTATTGTACTGAGAACACAACACTAAAGGTTAATATAGAATGAATCTTAGAGGGTTTCACCAAATGTTCTGAATAGCAGTAAAAATTCATCCTACTATATTGAGAGGTTGTCACCAAATGTTCTGAAGAACAGTATAAATGCATTTTATTATACTGAGAGGTTGTCACCAAAGGTTCTCAAGAGCAGTATAAATGCATTCAATTATACAGAGAGGGTGTCACCAAAGGTTCTCAAGAGCAGTATAAATGCATTCTAATGTACTGAGAACCCAACACTAAAGGTTAATATAATATGAATCTTAGAGGGTTTAACCAAATGTTCTGAAAAGCTGTATAAATGTATCATATTATACTGAGAGGTTGTCACCAAATGTTCTGAAGAGCAGTATAAATGCATTCTATTATACTGAGAGGTTGTCACCAAAGGTTCTCAAGAGCAGTATAAATGCATTCAATAATACTGAGAGGGTGTCACCAAAGGTTCTCAAGAGCAGTATAAATGCATTCTAATATACTGAGAACCCAACACTAAAGGTTAATATAGTATGAATCTTAGAGGGTTTAACCAAATGTTCTGAAAAGCAGTATAAATGTATCATATTATACTGAGACATACATGTAACACTGTTACAGTTTGGAACTTCATAAATCCTAGACATAATTACCTGTTTGGTATTAAACAGAAGCCCAAAGATTCAACACATGCAATGAGTAAAAGTAAATATGAACATGACGAGATGTGTACACATATTCAACATATCTTCAAACTATATAACAGGTAAATAATAAAGTGTGAAACAATATAGAAAAAGTATACTTTTGAATCAGGTGTCCCAACTTTTTTCATGAATTTTCAAAACATGATAGTCTGTCATTTTTGTCTTTTGTTTATTGTTTGTCCTAAACGATGCCGTTGGTTTTTCTCGTTTGAATTGTTTCCCATTTTGTTATGTCAGAGCCTTTTCAAGCTGACTATACAGTATGGCCCATTAGGTTGCGCTAATTGTTAAATGCTGTACGGTAACCTTTAGTTACTTACATGCACATAATTAGGACTTTGGTGGATAGTTGTCTCAAACCACATCTCCATATTTATTTATCATCACACTTTTCTATCCATGGATGGCTAATCATTTGGCCCTGGATTTGGACCTTGCCAGTAAAATTCAACAACTTCCTACAGTTGATAAGGATCATTTGCAGCTATTTTTGCGATGTGACCTTACTTAAACTTCTTGACACAAATACATAAAAATTAATATAATTACTGGGTATCTCAATTGAAGTTCTGTCATTTAATTCTCCTCTGAAACTAGAAGTATATCATTTACCTTATATGTAAAACCATCTATTTAGCATATGAAAATTCTTGAAATATTTGATTAAAACTAAGACCACAAATACTTACACTGAGTATTATAACATTGTTTCTTTGAATAAACTGCTCCGTTTTTATCGTCTAACAGTGTTGTCTGATTATATATAAAACAAAAATTGCTTTCAAAATGAATACTTTCACAGTTCTGATTGACAAGACAATACTGCTCACAGGCTTCAATATTGGATATTGTCCTTGGCTCTTCACCCCATTGAGCATCCCTACCAGCTTTGTTTGCCTGGCGAATCATTGCACAAGAAGTGTCTAAAAAAACCAAAAACAAGCCACAAAATTTCATAACAAATTTGCTTTTTGACACAAAAGTACAAGGATTGCTTGTTTTTACCCTGTCTAAGTTACAAAGGAAAACAGCTATAATATATAAATAACACATAGCTAAGAAGGTGGTAGAGCAGATTGTCACCCCGATTAAACATTGTCAAACGAGGCGAATCCAAGGTTGACAATGTTTATTCAAGGGGTAACAATCGGCTCTATCTCAGCTATGTGTTATTTTATTTATTATACTGAATGTTCTGTCATTATTGATTTTTGAATTATAAATTGAAAGTAATTAACTGTGACGTCTTGTACATAACAACGTTACAGTTATAAGAAAAAAGAAACAAAAGTGAAGCAAGATGTATATTTTATTTAGACAGTCTGTGAAAAAGTTCTGAGGCCAAAACGTAAAACTTGTGCATCGTCTTTTAAATTATTGATGCAAATTCAATTCAATAATCATTTTTTTTACTTTGATTGGTCTGCACGAGAGGATGACATTTAAAAAATTGTGCTGAGCCATGGGAGAGTAAATTTATCTCCCTCGTATTAGCCAATCAAAATCTGGCATTTTAACGTGAAATATAATAAAAACTATTAGCTACCAGGGTTCTGCACGAGAAGATGACATTTAAAAAATTGTGCTGAGCCATGAGAGAGTAAATTTATCTCCCTCGTATTAGCTAAACAAAATCTGGCATTTTAACGTGAAATATAATAAAAACAATTAGCTACCAGGGTTCTGAATCAAAAACCTTGCAAAAAATTATGCATACTATTGATATAAAAGAGCAGAGTTCTAATGTCCCCAGCGTTGCATATATATGTCATCTGTCCAGGGGCAATTACCATACCTGTCAACTGAGTCCATGATAAGGAAATTTTCCTCAGTCATTTTGGTCATTTTGTTGACTGATATTATGTAATCAGGATGCACAATACATCACTTTTCTGATGGTGAAGTTGAACTGACCCATATTTTCCTGTTGTGACCCGTGAATTTACCGGCTCACCGGAGATTTCAGTATCAGTTCTTATTTTAAAAATTTTCCTCCGAAATAAAAATTTGACGTTAATTCGAATTTATTTACTGTTCAAGGTTGTTCAACAATAGGAGTTTGTCATCCAATTGATGTACAATTCACCAACCTACTAATAATTTCATTATAGCATAAAGAGGTGTCAACTTCAAAGGATATAGCCAAGAAATTCTTAAAATTGTGTTAGGCCAAAAAATCAATAATTTATGACAAGTGCATGAGTAAATCCGCATTAATATTAATCTCATAATGCTAAATGTTCGTTAAAGTAATCCAAAATCTGTATTAAATAAACTCATCATAGATACCAGAATTGAAATTTTGTATTTGCGCCAGACGCGCGTTTCGTCTACAAAAGACTCATCAGTGACGCTCGAATCAAAAAAAATTAAAAAGGCCAAATAAAGTACGAAGTTGAAGAGCATTGAGGACCAAAAATTCCTAAACGTTTTGCCAATACAGCTAAGGTAATCTATTCCTGAGGTAGAAATGTAAAGTGTTGTAAACAGTTAATTCATAATTATGACCATTTCAATGATAATTCATGTCAACACAGAAGTGCTGACTACTGGGCTGGTGATAACCATTATTTATCTCTATGACTTTAATGACTTAAAAACGTAAACATGTGACTAAATCCCACCCCTCTCCCCCCAATTCATATTATAAAAATGCCAGGACAAAGATGCATTTCTTCTTATTCTTCCGTATATTCCTCGTGGTGTAATATATATGAGCACCTGGAAATCAGGTGAAAACACAATTTAGTTAATAAGAATACATTCTCCACCAGTATTCGTAAATGACATAACACTTTTTACACCCCTCAAGTCCTGTAAAAGTCAAAACTGTCATGGACCTTTAAAAAAACTTTGATTTTATATTAATTGCTGCAAACAATAATGGGAACATCTCTTGACTATAACTATCTAAATAAACCCTCAATTTTATCGAAACTTCTTAACTATAAATCTGAAATTGTCAAAATAAATGAAAGGTATTGAATTAATAATTTGATGAATTACTAGAATATTCATAACAGTATATGTTGCAACAATGTGTCATAAGTATGCTATGAACATCAAAATTATTTCATTTCTCCTTAAATAATGTTCTTGCACCTGTACAGGAAATTTTATCTAGCACTAATTGTATAGTTTTATTGTTGATATTCACCCCATATGTACCAAGTGTTAGATTAGTTTTATTGATATTAAAGAAATTTCTTGGTATTCCTAAACGGAAGATTTTATACACACAGCAGAAGAAGTATACTTAACAACAAAAATATTTTCATTTACCTGTGTATAATATGACGCAGGTTTTTTCAAAAGTGATGATTTTCTAAATATTGTTTAACATTTCACAGTGGTATCATACTTTAACTTCAACCTGTTTATTTACTTTTGACCTTAGTTATTTATCCCTTATAATTTATAACTATGTATTTGCATTCAGGTATCACAGATCAAAGTTATTCGTTCATTGTGTGTTAATTTACGTTTTTTGATTGAGTTAAGCCTTCCAATTGATATTTTATAGTGCGTCTTTCTATGTTGTGATGTTATACTATTGTTTCAGAAAAAGGGAGAAGGTTTGGTACCATTAAAACGTTTAAATCCGCTGCAAATGTTTGCACCTGTCCTAAGTCAGGAATCTGATGTACAATAGTTGTCGTCTGTTTATGTAGTTCATACGTGTTTCTCGTTTCTCGTTTTTATATAGATTAGACCGTTGGTTTTCCCGTTTGAATGATTTTACACTAGTAATTTTTGGGGCCCTTTATAGCTTGCTGCTCGGTGTGAGCCAATGCTCCGTGTTGAAGGCCGTACCTTGACCTATAATGGTTTACTTTTATAAATTGTTACTTGGATGGAGAGTTGTCTCATTGGCACTCATACCACATCTTCCTATATCTATGTGTTTGATATTTTAAAATTATTAAATAAAACAATGAATCAAGTTAATATGAAAAACTTATATAAAATTCAGTTGGACAAAGTTTTTACTTGTTACGACCTGATATTTTTTTTTAACCCAGATCATGACCAGCATTTCCATTTTCACAAGTTGACAGGTATAGCAATAACTAAAAAAAAATAGTTTATTCTTTAAAACTTTCAAAAATAGTTGATCGCCTCTCATTTGAAATTGTCTGAGACAATTTTGATATAAATTTGATAAAATAATTATACATGCAAAATATAGTTTATCTGTCAAAGGGTAATAACTAAGGAAAAATGTTGGTCTGCAGTGATTTTTGAATTCATCAGAGACATTGCGAATATAACCTTCGATATTAATTTTACAGAAATCTGGCAATTGTACACGTTAGAGCACTTACAATGCAATCTTCCATATAATTAAAATTTACAAAGAAAATAACTCTTTTGAAAATAGTTGATCTGTACTGATCTTGGAACTTGTCTCAGACATTGCTGATAAAAACCTTTGATATAAATTTAATAATAATCTGTCAAAAATTGTACAGCATGTAAGAGTGCTTACAATACAATTTCCTATATTTTTTTATCCTATTGGCAAAAATTTCTTTAAAAATCTGGCAAAATTTTTACATGTGAGAGCGCTACGTATTAGAATGACAGACAGATGCCCAGTATTTCTGTGTTCCTTCCAACGTATTGCGTGAGGGCTAAAAAATCATAAGCAATAGTGGCTGCCATCTTTTACACACTAAGAAATGGTAAAGCAATTTAAAGATAGGAACCCCAATATAAAGAATTAATGATTTCTTAACTTTTATGCAGATCACTTCTTTTTGATAATTTTTATCTATATCAATTATAGATTATAAGATAATTGCAATCAAAGAGCTAGGTCGCTCCGAGGGATAAGATTACCATTGTTTCAATTGATATTAGTAATCTATCTAAAATAAATAACTCATGCTGTTACATTGTTATACTTTTTGGTATTTGCACATACCACACCTGTGCGTTACCCTCACTGTGTCCAACACTATTCTTTTTTACTATATGTTGTGGTGATGTCTCTAGACACCTCAATTTGAACAAACATTTTGAAATTCTGATACCGCCACTGTGTAAGTTTTACTCTACTAAGGTAGTCTGATTTTTCATATTTGTAAGCACGTAGAACTCGTCATGCTGATCAATTTTAAATGCACATCACGTATTGCAGTATAAGCGTCACGTACTGCAATATTTACATCATATATCAAAATATTCGCATCATGTAACATGTTTTTATTTTCACATCATGTAATGAAATTTTCACATCAAGTAATGAAACAACCACATCACGTGTGACGTAATGAAGTAACCACATCACGTAATGAAGTAATCAAATCATGTTATGAAGTTATCAAATCACGTAAAGAAGTTTCCACACCATGTTAAGAAGTAACCCCATCATGTAATGAAGAATTCATATCATATAATGAAGTATTCATATCATGTTATAGTGTTTTCATACCAAATGATGAAGAATTCAGATAAAGTAATGGAGAATTCATATGAAATAAACGTATTTGACATAATATAAACAACATATAAGGCAGTGATGGCGTTCCATAGACCAATATTTGATTATTTACATTTTCTGTTTTATTGCCGAGATTGACAGTAGTTTGATTAGTCATAAAATTTACGTAATCGATCTCTGCTGAAAAATAATCAAAGCGAAAATGTGCTGTAAATGCAGTTACCTACAGCGTTTGCGATTTTATAATCCAGACTGATTATCTTTAAACATCAGATATTTAGACATTGTTCAAGTATTATGGCATGAAAATGCTACAACATATTATCCATGAATATATTAATGCACTTTAATTAATATCTTTTAAAATTAAAATTTTACGGCTACAGATCATCTTAGGATTGAATTTTCCGAGAAAAACATCGATTTATATTTACATTCATCAAATGCAATTGAATATTTAGGGTCAATTTTGATTTT